CATACCAATGTTTTGCTGAAGGTACAACCCATGCAGTTTTATTTATGGAGATGGTTTCCAAAAGTTACAGAAATTTAATGACAATACTCATAGTCGTTTTTTAAAAAAGAAATACATTTTTTTTTGGATCTCAGCTCAAAGTTCCTTGTTTTTGGAGCTAGAATGGTCATATTCACCGAGCACATATGCGTGATGGGTAAACTCTTAAAAACATAAAATTTCTGTCTTCTTGGATGTGGAGCCGTGTAGATCTTGTGTTCGGAGGGACGTATCGCCTCCATCTGCACCTGCTCACGCTGGTTCCTCGCACGTGGATTTTTCTACCCTTAAGGTGGAGGCGATAAGTTCCTCCAAACACAGGATCTACACTGCGCCACATCCCATAAGACGGCACTCTTCATAGTCACCGCCGTGAAAACCTGAAATCTTACTCTTAAAAACAGAATATGACTAAAATCAGTACAGTCATTAAGGCACTAGCCAGGCGCACATACGTACATAGTAAAGCTCTAGTACTTAGAGCTGACAGTCCAGGAAAATCTGCGCCGTGGATGAGCAGGTCCATTCGTGAAAGTTGAGGGGTGTTGTGGTTAGTCATTCGTCTGCATTCAGTGCGAGTAGACGTCTCAAGAGCATTCTTCATTGTACAGTCAAGTTAAAACGTTTTGACTCTAGGAGTCGTATTTGAGTGCATTATTCTCTACCTACTGTATTAATATTGTGACGCGTTACCTTACGTCCATCGCCGCGCAACGGCTACAGTGGAAATTGTTGCGTTCAAACAGCGACAAATCGAATACAAACAGACCGTTGCGAGGGATCGTTCCCGAGGCAAGGGATTGCCGAACACGTGAGTTTGGAATAAACACTTCCATGGTAACGCAAAAAACAGGGAGCCGTTGCGTAGACAATGCAGAAGCAACGAACGCGTCTCCCCAGAAATGAACTACAGGGAGTTCGTTGCGCCCGTTACGTAACAGCGGACAGTAGAAACAAAACAGTGAGGAATGGTGTCTGGTACCCAGTCCGCAGAACACCTACACAAGCCGAGAGCGCCGAGAGCTACAGAGACAGAAGACAGCAGCAAGACAGCAACAAGACAGCAAGAAGTTAGTATTGGGATAGCCGTCGCCGAAGACAGTTGAGATCCAGCCACGGCCAAAGATAGTTGAGACGTCGCATTGAAGTATTGGGCCAGAAGTTAAGTGGGGACACGTGAAAATATTTTATTTTATTGTTTATTTTTATTCGTTGATTTTCTTTTTTGTGTATTTATATTTGTACATTTTTTCTATCTCCTTTAACATGCCACCGACACGAAGTAAATTGAGTGGAAAAGTGTTGCATTCAAAATCAAGAGAAATTGTTAGTATTGTATATAAGTATATGAAAGAGGCTAGGCCAATAATTACAACGAAGAATATAGGAGTCGAAGTAGCAAAGGCAACAGGTGTATCGGAAAGTAGTGTCAGAATAATAATAAGAGAAACAAAAAATATCGAATCTGGGGCTTCCATTTCCCTTTCGACATCCCATAAAGACCTAGGAAATCTCCGCTAGCCACTTTGGACGACTTTAACGAGTATGTGGTGCGAAGAACAATTAATGACTTCTAAATAGTCGAAAAACGGAGACCTACCCTGAAAAAAGTTCACGAAAAGTTGAAGAAAACGTTGGATTTTCAGGGATGCATCTCACATTAAAGAAAATTATTTTGAAACTGGGGTTCCGCTGGAAGAAAACAAAAAATAATCGGACATTGCCAGTGTTGCCCCTTTAGAATAAACCCGTGTAATATGTAAATAAACTCTTCATGTATATAACAGTGAAAAGTGTATAATAGTGTATAGTGCATAACAGTCTGCCATTCGGCACTTAAAACTTAACATCGGATGTGTGAACATCAACGAGAATAACCCACCATCACTATACAACACAATGAGGTAAGAAGTTATTTCCTTTTGAGAACGCCTGTACTGCATTCCCCGCCACACGTGTCAGCATGCTGGAGCTCTCCCCGCCACTACCAATACTTCTCCTACTCCGCGTCGGAGGACTGTCACCTCTAAGTACTAGAGCTATACGTACATACATACATACATACAAACATGCACACGTACATACATACACATACACACATAAAAAACAGGCAGGATCCCAAAACAACCTTTTCGTTTTCAGGGATGAAGTCCTGTGGATCCGTCAGAATGTAAAAAATTATTTATTTTCTTCTCCATCACAGGACCCTCTCACAATATACTACATATATGAGAAAGTTAAAATAATGTATCCTTCGAGAAACAACCATAGTCGGAAACTTGACGAAAACTTTTTAAACGATTGGTTTTCGTTTATTTGAATTATAATCTACCTTTCACTGAATTCCGTCATAACGTTTTCATATTAAATGCACGTTGTGTAAACTGCTGCTCCAGCATACCAATTTCTATCCAAATAGAACGAGAGAATTCGAAAACGGAAACGGTAGCTGCTATTAATATTCAGGAACTTAGTGATCTTTGTCAGCCATTCAGCTCTTTGTGTTGCTTTATATCAAGGAAAATATTTTGTTTTTACACTTTTAATGTAATAGGCTCTACTGAATTTCAGGCGTGAACAAATGTTAAATAGAAATTCAAGCCTGGACCTTATTTGGATATACGAGCCACGTTTTAAATTTTTCTACAAAAGTATAATTTTCGACATGATTAAGTTAAGGAATATATTACCCATAGTTTGGTATTAAAGAAGGGGTTAGACAAAATGACACACTAGCGCGTCTTCTGTTTAATATAAATTTAGTAAAGGTAATGAGAGGTACTGAAGTGCAAACTAAAGTCACTATATTTAATAAATCAGTACAAATATTGGCTTATGCAGATGATATAATTGGACGCTCATTAGCAGTAGTTAAAGAACATTTCGTTAGTACGGAGAAAACTGCTAAGGAAATGGGTCTAGCAGTAAACGAGGGTAAAACAAAATTTATGGCACAAAATTGTTCTGGCTGTTCTGACTTGAGGTATAACCGAAGTTTCGCTATTGATTCATATAATTTTGAAGTTACGACGAGATTTATATCTGGGGTCTCTAATTAATTGTAAAAATGCTCTGAAGAAGAAATTGAGCGCAGAATTACAATAGGAAATAGTTCTTATTACTGGATGTTGAAACTGATGAAATCTCAATTACTATAGAAGAAAACTAAATGTCACCTGTATGAAACATTGATACTTCCAAAGTGCTGTAAGGATCTGAGAGCTAGACTCTGAGCAAGGCTCATGAAGCACTGCTTGGGAGGTTGTGAGAGAAAGATTCTAAGGAGAATCCATGGAGCAGTACAAATTGATGAGCTCTGACGAAGACGTAACAATCAGGAATTATATAGTTTATTTAATGATGTTGATATAATTGAAAGAATTAAAATAAATAGTTTGAGATGGACAGGACATATTATATGGAGAGGAAATGAAGAAATTATATAAAGATTAATGATTGTAAAACCGGAAGGGAAATGGAAGAAAGGTAGACCAAGAATGAGATGGATGGGTTGTGTCAACAAGGATTTAAGGAACTTAGGTGTGTTTAACTGGAAAACAAAGGCACAAGAGAGGGATGACTGAAGAAAGATTTAGAGCAGGCCAAGTCCACAAAGGGTTGTAGTGCCAATAATAATAATAATAATAATTTTCGCGTTGTTTGTTGCACAGTTTAGAATACAGCCTCCACAATCTCGGGCGTCTGATTCAGACATTTTCCGAACTACTCCTCACATCTGTATCATAATCCTTCTTGTGTTAGTTATCTTACTCCGTGACCTGCAAACTTGTGTAACTTAGTACTCTCAATTTCCATGCAAAGAGAACCTGATGGCAAAAGTAAGGTTCGATCTGTCCAAATGTTTAATTACATGAAAGAAACACAATTCAGATAATAGCCACGCCTCTTCACAATGCGCAAGAGGAGAAGAGATTTTCATGGCCAAAAATTTAACATAGGAAAGCGGATATTTTTTCATTTGGAAAAAATATTTTACTCATGGGAAAGGATAATAGTAAATAAAAACTAACATTTGTAAAATGACCATGACCGACTCACATAGCAACCCCCCTAGCTTAAGGGTTAATGCCCTCCCATTAACCTTGCCTTTCTCCCCCGATACAATATCCTATACCTGCTCTAACCTTGCTCCTGCTCCCCAGACCCTTCCCCTCTCCCTCTCCACTGATTTCCCATGTAGACCTGTCCCTTCCTTTCCTGCTCTCATATAGCTGAGATTATTTCCAACATTAGTCTGCTTGCACCTGTTCTCACTGTCTCTTCGCTTGCTGATTTTCTTGTTTTTCTTTCTACCCTGAAGATGGGGGCTATACGTTCCTCCGAAACGTCTGTTAACACCATATCTACACGGTGCCACATCTCAGAAAACTGCTTCCTTCATAGTCACCGCCGTGAAAACCTCAAATCTTACAAAAATTATTTTGTTCTACACTATTAGGTTTCAAAAGAAACAGCTTTCATTATCCTCATTAATTACAAATATTGGATTAGAATTTTATGTTTCTGTTAAGAACGTAATTGTTATGATTAATGACGATGCTTGAGTCGTTTTAAAACTCATAATTCAAATAATTTCACTTATAAACAAAAAACACATTTTACATATTTTTTCTTAAAAATTTCAAATATTGCATCGGCTACAATAAGCACGTCTTGCAGACCGAAATTTGTTTCATTGCTCATTAATGAAATCCACAGTTATTAATACGAATGCACGCAAAACAATTTCCGCACAGTTTTGAATTACATGTAGTTTTTTTTTTGGTAATGTGTGTATGTTCTAGAGATCTGGTAAATCATAAATATATCAATATTAATAAAATATCATAGAGACTTTGATGTCTGATTCAGTCCCGGGATCGTTGAAACAAATGGATGAAAACCTTTCCTTCTCATAGTTCAACGTGAAGATGATTTGCTCGAGGTAGGATACAGATATATACAGATGGGACACTCAGTCAGTATTCTTTCCTCACAATTGTACCGTACAATTCTATACAATCACTTGTCCTATCAGTAGTACATGTATATACAATACATTAAGCAACCTGCCCGACATTTTTACATTGCAGTTTTTCTATGTCCACAATACAATAACATTGTGTGTGTTGCAGTGGGGAAACATCAAATTCTACTCGGGACGAACCTGCGGCAGAAAGGTCATGGTCCAGTCACATACACAGTAACTTACTGAACACCAACTAAATTCTTACTTCTGTTCTAGTACGTTAAATGCATCACATTGCCCACATAAAATTTTACTGGAACTGAAATTTGTTTTTGAATTAATAGATTATTTTGGAAGTACTGTGCTAATGAACTGTGTCATTGCAGAACACACATGTTGAAGATGAAGATATTTCCAATTGCATTCCAACTTCATGGATAATAATTTGTTTTCTTAATGCATTTAGTGTTATACATTTATCCACTAATTTTCACAAATGAGAAACATATATAACTACGAAACAGAAGTTTTGTCCATGTCAACTCCAATTGTGGTTGGATACATGAAAGAATTACACACTTGTTTATTCTTTGTTGAACCTTCTTAAATTCTGAATTTGAAAGTAATGATCTAAAACAAATATTCTGTTTGCAAATAAAGGCATGATCTCACAATCTGTCATATCGTAAAATATCTACATACAACTTAATACACGAACCAAATTACATTCCATAACTCACCAAAAATTTAAAATAAACTACTTACATACACATGTATAAACCAAAAATACTATCAGATTAACTAAAGCATATACCATTCCTGAAATGAAAATTTGTTGCATTCTACTGGGGTTATCTGGATTCAGGAATCACATTTCAGATCAGCCATTGGCCTACTGATCAGTGTGCTACAGGCATCTTTTTGTAGTTTTTGTTTTCTGGGTTTTGACACTGTTTACTCTTGTCTGCTGATCAGGATATTTCGAAGAAGCATGCTGCCTCCATCTTCAAGGTTGAGGTGTATAGTTGAGGAATTTGCTGGGTTACTTAGACAGGATAAAAAGAAGGTGTTACCGACACCCGAGGAAGGCGCTAACGACGACGAGCTCGGTCGAGAGCATTGGGAAAATTCTTTGGAAAACGGACTTTATAAGGGGTCACACTCAGTTTTTTGTCACATGGGAGAATTTACCCCTTGAAGGGACGTTCTATACTCACTGTCGTCGTTGTACTGACTCAGGGTTCTCTTCTTTACCCCTTCCCTCGGTTCTCAGTAAACTTTTCAATGAAATATGCCTCAAAAAATTCTTCATCCTTCACACTTCAACCCTTAAGAAGATGGCAACGTGTTCCCCCGAAACGTGGATGTCCGCCAACAAGATTACACGGTGTCAAGACAGAAAATAGCGGCATGAAGAATTGCGCCTTGAAAATCTAAAAAATTATATCCCTTTCTAACTTTTTGAATAAGAGAATATCAGTCCCGGAGACGGACTTTGTCATTGCTTACCACGCAGACACGAATCGACACTCACTCATTTCCCAAAGAGTTTGTAGGCCTAACAAATTGGTCGACGTCGGATATACAACTTACTTCTAACATAGAAAAGCATTTACATTGATTTACGGATACTTCCACTTACAAACTTTACACAAATATTAGGCATATAGGCTTCTGTGTTTCACTGTACATCAAACTGTATTCGCCGAACCTACTACCGGAACAAATTTACAGATTAATTGGTTTGCAGATCTATAGTTCTGACGGGCCCTCCTCTTATAACAGCAATATTCAGTGTCACTTTATATACATTCAAGATACTACAAGGAACTTTTATGTTCATATTTCATCAGCAATAATCTATAAGTGCCATGGTAAAGAAAACCTTTCCTACTTACAATTTACTGTGAAATATTATACCGTATTGGAATAGAGGAGGCCTTCGTGCATTTTTATTTCACCATGTGGAAAAATTTCCCAACATATTTATCATAAATAAAGCTGTTCCTTAGCGTAACATGGTCCCACACGATTGTCGCCCAAGGACACATAAACATGAGTCCTTATAATTCACATTTGTGAGACGATGTGTTTTAGTTGAAAGTCGGTTATCCCAAACAGTTCTGGGTAACATATTTCTGTAGTTTATTTACCCTGTATGCATCGACGCGACTCATACGTAAACGCTGTTTCTATCAAATAAAACCAAACTTTTCAGTCATCGGCGTCTGATTTCTGCAGTAAGTGCGTTTCACTTGACCCAGAAGTTGCGGCTGTAGAACTTAATATTAACGGTGACGTGTCTTCAGATAACTGGTGTATGGGATCGGCGGACAAGTCCAACTTATGTTCAGTATTTTGCTTTTCGGGTCCTTCCGTCGAGCCCGGCTTGTCTTCGGCGTTGTATTGAGTTAGAATATGCTCTGTTGTATTATTATGTACAGGATTGTCGAAAGAATTTTCATTTGTTTCGAGGTGGATTGTGATGTCTTCGTCTAATCCCAAAACAGAATCAGGGTTGTTTTTGGTTTCTTCTTCGTCCTTGAAGGTTGTTTCTGGATTTGAGGGTGTTGTCCCACCTTTGCCAATGAGATAGTATGTCATAAGCTGCCCTTTTCCCTTCACCGATACCAATCCACGCTGCTCAAAAACGTAACCGAAATGCTTGAGAATCTCAGTAGTTTCATCGGTTACCTGGAAATATAAGGATATGTACTATTAAACTGCAGCTTCCTGTCGCGCTGTATAGATTTAAATTGTGTACAGTGCCACCTTCAATGGAAGTACTGACTTTGTGTTTGTGTTGCTACATTTTAACATTCCCATTTCCTTTGAAGCAAAATTTTGAAAAATCTTTGATCGCGTTATTTTCTTGTTAATGTATGCTTTATTTATCGACACTCTCATTAGCTTAGACTATAATATAGTGTCAAATGGGGGCTGTTAGTGAATTAGGAAACATCACATTCACACGCGATATATACCTTTGACTTAAAAGAGTGCGACAATTTATCAAAGCGGACAACTCCTGATGATGGCCGTGTACGGCCGAAATATGTAATGAGGAAGAAGGGTGACTAAATAATAAGTTATGTTTAAGACGGATATATATACACACACACAAACACTACCTCCCACTATTGAATCGTAAGACGGAAAAATATTTTCTGTTCCTTCTTAAAACTTAATCTTATTTTACATAAATTTCAATTATATTATTAGGTTACTGTAACTGAAATTCTTGGTTCCTAATATTAATTATTGTTCGACATATGGATAATTGTACAATATTTTAATAAAACTATTAGAAATATTTGTTTTTTAATTTTTTCTTCTTTCATGTTTAAGGAAATTAATTTGTTTTTATTTATAGGTAATAGCCAAACTCGGCCTCCCAACTTTACACAAAATATTTTTATACGTATATGCCGTCGAAACTGCACTCTTATACCTAAAATACCAGGTGTGGAATGCACAATATTGCCTGAAATCAATCAATACATTTTGAAAAATAACATTAAATAGGCATTTGGTTTGAATTCATTAAACAAGTTCTCTGTCCCTTCATATATTTGAAGGATATTTGTTCCATGTTTACCTCAATGACAATAACATATAAACATGTTTCTATGAAAAAAGAAATGATCTGTTCAACTTCTAGCTTTCGCTGTCCTCCTCGCGTGCCTTCATTTTTATTTAAAACCAAAAGTTAAGTACAAACCTACAAAGTTCAGGGCGTTATTTTATTATTTGTATAGAATTTATATGATTTAGGAATACGTTTTTCAATTAATTTCATCGTGAAATTTCGAATTAAAGACATGTTTTCTTCAGGTTGCTTGCCTTGCTTTCTGCTTCATTCTGGTTTTTACCGAGTTTATTCTTCAACCCTGAAGATGGAGGAGACATATTCCTCCGAGATGTCAGCTAACCTTCAACAGAGTACACGGTGTTATATCCCAGAGAACAGGACTCCGTATGACCACCGCTGCGAAAACGTCAAATCCTTTATGTGACATTTTAATGTTAATATCCGAACTGACGTTAATGTTGTGAGAGCATTGTGTATGTGTATGTGTGTGTATGTGTGTGTGTGTGTGCCTCGTCTAGTAGGCCCTGCCTAGGAGACAACATAGGTAAGATGGCAGAGCAATGTCACCATACAGACCTGGATACATCCTGCTTTCCCCGTGCTCTCCATACGTGAGGCTACGTTGACAGAATTGCCCCAGATATCGTAGTGCGGTTTACGAGCGCCAATCACTCCAGCCGTGATCGGTCCGTGGTTTATTCCTGAACCAGAATTTGTTAGTTTATACAACCAATATATTATCATTTTCATGTCAGTATGTAACAGAATATTTTTTAAAATGTAGTTATGGGTCTCTTTGTCAATGTTACCATTTAAACTTTGGTTCGTCTAGTGAATTCCATAAGTTATTACTCCATGAATTTTTACAAAATCAGAACACATGTATTCTCTTTAGACTTACACCTATATCTTTTTTCTAGTGTGGCAGTTTTACTGTACTTTAGCAACAGGAGTTAACATAATTAATTTTTTATCTGTAAACAGCCCCAAAAGTCGGGATTCAGTAGCATATTTGGATCTTCTCTTTGGAATATTATCCACGAAAGTCGAATCATGTTTTTAGACGAAATTTCACGCTGATGATAAAAGTCTTTATGATTACCGGGCTGATGGAGGTAACACCTGCTGGAGTTCCTTCTTTTAAATATTGCACATTCTGTCGTTTATTGACGCTTCTCGGAACATTATATTTGAACAGCCAATGGGCTTAAAGTTTATACATAACTAATTATTAGAACAAATTATTGATTTCATCTAAATCATATCTCTGATATTATGTGAGCCCATTCTTTGCCCATCACCCTAAATTAATTAAAAAAAAAGTAGATTTTTAAGTGCACCTTCGCTGGAGGATCTTTTTGGGCAGATCTGGTATTCGTGCTACAAAGAAATTATCTATTTTTATATAACCTATTATTCAAGAGAGACACCGTGGGACGCTATCACGATCCAGCTGAGTCCAGTTAACACCCTCGCACATTTGTTTCTCTAAAAGTAATATTACCGTTATTTATCCAGGTCTCAAAGAATTCAAACATTTTCAAAACTGAAGAATGCCGTCTTCTGGAATGTGGCGCCGTGTAGGTCTTGTGTAACCCTACGTTTCGGAGGAACGGATTGACTCCATCTTCAGGGTACAAAAATCCGCGAGCGAGGAACCAGCGTGATCAGGTGGCTGCGAACTCACGCTGGTTCCAAGCTCGCATATTTTTCTACCCTAAAATGGAGGAGATACATTCCTCCGAAACGTCAGTTCACATAAGGTCTACACGGCACCACATCTCAGAAGACGGCATTCTTCATAGTCACCGCCGTGAAAACCTCAAATCTCAAATATTTTAAAAAATATTGCACACGAGAACTCTTCCGTGAGGAACAGCATCTTATGAGCGACAGCGCCTTGTAATCTGTTCAAAATGTCGCCTTTATCTTCACTTTCAACGGACTGCATGGCGCTGCATCTCAGAAGATGAAACTCTTAATTACCAACTGCTGTGAAAATCTTATAGCCTGTGTCTCTCCGCTGTTACGGTTTTCAGACCAGAATGCTATGTACATAAATTTGATTATTTCCTGTAAGTGTATTTTATGTCCTACCCCGTTCATGATTTAATCACGTTAAACTTATTAAGACTATGAAAGTTTAAGTTTCTTAATTACACACAAAGTGAGTACGCGGTAGCGTAGTTGGTTGAGGCACTCTGCTACAAGCCGAAGGGTCGCGGGTTCGAGTCCGATGAGGTGAAGTTTTAAATTTACCTAATCCTTCCAGCCGCAATGTGGCCCTGGTGTCGATTCAGCCTCTAACATAAATGATTACCAAGAATCTTCCTGGGGGGTAAAGGACGGCCGGCGCATAAGGCTGACAGCCTCACCGCCATCTTTGAGCTTATTGTCTAGAACAGCCGTGTCAAAAATGAGGCCCCCATAGCCAAAAAGTACGGACCCTCAACTTTTAGAGTTAATTGATATTAAAATCAATATTAAAATTTTAGTAGAAATATTTTTTGTAAAGACAATTTTCCAACAGACCAGAGACAAGAAGACTCACACAGACACAAATTAGCAGGCTGCAGGAAATTCTATATTTTGCTATTTCTAACATAATTTCTTGTGTAATCTCTCTTTTTACATATTGAAAAGCTGTTTGATACTTGTCAAAAATGGCATTCTCTTGTTTTTTAAAACTGTAAGATATGTGACTTTAGGTAATTATAGTGAAATTATTCCTAAATAATAAATAGAATTAAATTTCCTTGTATCAAAATCTAATGTATATTTCTATTTTGAAGTGCGGCCCTGGATTATTATTAATAGGGCTGAGGTGCCCTCTGTACAAGTTGAGTTTGACATGCCTGGTCTAGAAGATGTGTGAGCCTCAACCTCTCACTACCCTATGGACCTTCAAGGCGTGTTACAGGGATAACTTTACCTTTAATTACATATAAACCCTTATTACACCCCTGGAGTGATATCTCAAGTGCCCATGAGAAGGCAGGGGCATTTTGAAATCTACCTACCCGCCCCGCAACACCAACCCCATGGAGGAAGGCCTTGTTTGAGACAATAATACTCGCTTAGCTAGTTAAGCTATATAAGAATACGAATATTTCCTCGCATTTTGTGGAGCCAAGGGGGCCGGTATCATGTTCACATCAGCCCAGTACCGGTTCCTGTCCTGAATTAGGGAGTCAATACACACAATCCCTCAACTTTTTCTTTAAAGTCAGTTTTAATTTTATCATCGCATTAATTCTCTCCGTAGCTGAGCAGTTGTGAGAGTTCAATTCTGTTACACTTTTCCCTTGGACGCTGTTGTCCTCTTTAGTCTTATCTTAAGGGGTGTCTGATGTATTGGCGAATGTTACATGTTCCTTGTTTCTGAACAGGAGACAACTCTTTTGTCTTATATCCAGTTTAAGTGACCGGAAGTGAAACAATGTCAACGCAGAAAACAAGTCAATAGTTTTCTGGAGACGCGAATTTGTCTTTTGACATGTGCAGCTGACATAGTTTATCTTCGGAAGGGTCTAGCTAAATCTTCTGTACGAGAAGATGACAGCTTCCATGTATGAGGTCCGAGTTGTATCTCTGCAAACTGCTTTGTTGGCTTATGCTGATTGCATAATGACTTTGCTTAGATAAAATGAGCCAATTGGAGACGAGATTTCTTGTCTGGGAGAGGATGTCGTCACTGCAGATTCTCTGGGGATGAAGCGACGTTCCCACAAGATATTTTTCCTCATCACTTGTTATCTTAAATTCATCAGATTCGGACGTAATCCCGCTGTACTCCTCAAGTTTATCTAAATTAATCAGCACTTGATTTTAAAATACTATTTTTATAATAATATTAAAGAGCTATATTACTGTGTGCTTGCGCTGAGAAATTCTAAAGTTTCGTTGCCAATAAATGCTCGATTAATTAACCAGTGAATCTGTCGCTGTGACTGGAATGGAGGGCTCGCTCCTCATGTGCAATTTCCGCTTTTCTGAGTTACTGCTATTACATGAACCTGACAGGAATTTCTTGCTCTACTGAGCCAACATGTGAGTTGGAAGGGAAGGAGGGTGGTAAGGTGTAAAGGAGGGGTGAAGAAGGGTTACTCGCATTATGGGTTCCGCATTAATTGGAGCAGATTTTTAATCATTACGCTTTGGCAATCAAATTCTCAGGGAATGTGTCGATACGCTTTAAAGAAGAGAATCTGCTGGGAGAATCGCTTCCGTGCCGAAAATCGAACCCTGCATAACCTGAAGAAAGCAGTCTTCTGGGATTTGGCACCGTGTGTATGTGGTGTTAACCGACGTTTCGGAGGAACGTAAATACCGGTTCTCACGGTCTCTTAGCNCATAACCTGTCTGTATTTGAGGAACGACTTGCCATCATGTACACTTTTTATATATTATTAAATATTTTTAGAAGTATGGTGCAAGACATGAAACTCTGATGTTTGAATAGGAAGATGTGGTCACGGACAATCTTGATGCTCACCCATCTTCAGCACGAAGTGGTTGAAGCTTTGCTCGTTGATACCTTGGAGTGCCTTCTTCAGCTCAAGGGCGAATTCCACTAGAAGTGCGAGGTGAGACCAGCGTACTTGAATTGGATCATCTGGCTGAAACAGGAGGGGGCAAGATAATTGAGCTGATCACGTTTCCATGTTTCAGTTTCTTGCTAAACGAATTTTTCGTGTGAGTGTAGTGAGTAACCATATTTGTGTTTTATTGGACAGATGTTGAGGCTAACTTCAGATTCAGTGTTCGTTCATTCATACGTCAAAATTCCACGGTAATCTTGGGAATTTCAAAGGATAAAAGATCCACAAATGGTCACATAACAAATAAAGATTTCTCACCTTGACTTGCCGAGATGGATTCAGTCCACTTGCAGCCATGTATGTAGAACCTATAGTTTTGATCTTTATAATATCCTGAAATTGTGGAAGTTCCAGCAGCTGTAATATGAAAAACAAGCACATATACTGAGCTATTTTATTTGGTTCTAATTTTGAAACGACAGAAATATCCGAATTCTATGCTTCATGGGAAATTTCGGTATAAAAAGAAATGTTTCTCCGTTCACATTCCAAACATAAAGGAGATTTCTTAAACTCAATTTTAGCCCAATATTCTTATTTAAAAAGAATAAAAGGCATGAGCTCACCTTGTTCTCTGCCTGTCTCTCCGTCTGTATATCCCCATAACTTTTGAGGTTTATGACACCACCTTCATCTCTGTTAGTCGGTAGACTGTCTATCGCCCCAATTTGTTTCGTTTTCTATGCAGTCCGTATCAAAAGAAAATAAGAGATTGTTTCTTCCCAATACTCCTTGCTATGGTTAAGTCCGAACTCACACTCATTGTATAGCGTTTTGTTTTACATATCATTTATTAATCGAATTGTATTGGTTATAAGGATTCCATATTCCCTATTTTCGTTAAAAATTTACAGCTAGAATTGATTTTATTTTTCACTGGATAGACCTTCTACGAATACTTTCGCATTCATAGGCCTGTGACTCACAGTTCTTCACTGATGTTCGCTAATGTATAAATATTAAACTTCGTAGTGAAAAAACAAATTTAAAGTGAAAGTTATCCACCATATTATTATAATTAAATGACTTATTTTACTGCATCGAAAATTTTGAGTAGTAACTTGTCACAAGGCCGGTCACGGTAGCCGAGCGGTCTAAGGCATGCACTGTCTTCGCTCGCTCGGAAGCCGGGATCGTGGGTTCGAATCCCACTCAGGGCATGGATGTTTGTGTGTGTTTTTCTGTGTTTGTCTACAGGTAGAGACCTTGCGACGAGCTGATCACTCGCCCAAGTAGTCCTACCGAATGTGTAAGATCTAGTAAACCGAAGTGAAACGGAGAGTTTCATGGAGGTAGGCCTAGGCCCAAATTGCGGCTGTAGCGCCACAGAAAATAACTTGTCACAAGGCCTCAATTCGTGACGCTGAACTGTATGAGATTTTTATGCTCGTGGCGGTGTGTTAAGATTACAATCATTCAGTTGTGATGGCATGTAGTTTGGTAGGTACGTACCAGCGTCACAGGGGAACCTGCTGCCCCAATCTTCACGGTACAAGTTATATTCTGAAGATGGAGGTAACAGACTTCTCCGAAATCCTGATATCTATCTTCCAAAATTTCATGGCGTCACAATCCACTCATTGTTATAGTCTTTATTTTGCAGCTAAGAACCACAAATCTCACAAAATTCAAATTAATTGTCCTAAAATTCGTAGAACGCGATATAAAGAAATTACGAGTGTTGTATACATACAGCATCAAAATCGGAGATGACTTCGTTCAGAAACCTTAAGCACTCCAGGCCCTGGTTATTCACGGTCTCTTCTGAATAGAAATCTGTAATAAAGAACAGATCTCCCTAAATTTAATGCTGCTTCATTTTGCGTCCATTCGTTTCGCTAGCGAGGGAATCATATATCTATTTCAAAAAATATAATCTGGGACATAATTTGGATAATATTATTTTTGGTGTATGAACTCGTTTTATACTTTAGGTGAACATTAAAAAAACGTAAACATCTGCCAGTTCTGTTTATAAGGATTTCATTATTAATTAAAAATTATCATTGATATGTCTTACATGCAACACTCTTTACAATTTTTTAAAATTTACTACATATACACAATGAATCTTTTAAACCTATTTAAACCCACATTGTACACTATATGTTTCGACCATCATTGTCATCATCAGATGTTTTAAAACTCTTTGTGGGGACTGTTGTGCCGGCCTAAGCACACAGTGCAGCAGGAATGAACACCCAGCACGACGAAAAGCACGAACTTGTGATGGCACTACACATTCAATATTAAAAACACAAGACGCCAGCACAGCAGTCCCCACAAAGAGTTTTAAAACACATGATGATGACCAATGATGGTCGAAACAAGTAGTGTACAATGTGGGTTTAAATAGGTTTTATAGACTCATTGTGTCTATGTAGTAACTTTAAGCAAAGTTTTAAAGGAGTGTTGCATGTAAGGCGGTATATCAGAGCTAATTGTTAATTAATGAAAAGTGTGCGGCAGAATGCTTATAACCTTATGCAGGATTTGATCTCTTTACAGAGGGTCGAAGTTATGTTACGAAAATACTGTCGATAAAAATAGTACATATGTCCTCAGAGAAGAACGGATAACAGTGCAAACAGTAAAGACAATTTGTGGAAATATTTACTTTTTCGTTCCTGTGTAAAAGTAATTAGGAAGTTCCAGTAGTCGACCAAATCAATGAGAATAGAAATTGAAGATTATCTTTGTGTTAAAAGTGATGCATACCGCAGTGCTTCAGGTCAAAGATATTATATTCTTTGTCCAGAAACGTGAAACAACATGGCTTCCGACTGAGTTCAGAATATATAAAGGGATATTCAGTCTGTAACTTAGATGAAATATAAAATTATTCATTTAAAAAGAACTTCATGACGAGAAGGCCGCTATAAAAATCTGGGAACAATTATTTGTTTTCCAAAGTTTGCTTCTTAGGGGGAAAGAAAAATATATGAACAAGAATGACCAATTCCACAGGGCTCGCGAAGAATTATCTACTTTCTTTTTGAACTAGAGAATTCTGTACTATGTGTCCAAGGGCTGTTTTACCCTCTGAATTTCTTACATATTTTTGTTTTAATTTTGTATCTCCGTGTGCGTTTTATGCTCCTCCTTATTTATTCTCCATCATTTAACAAATTATGAACCTGCGCATTATGAAATTTTGAAAAATAGAACGTAAAATAGAAATCTGAGGAAGAACGGAACACAAATAACTTTACTTCTCTTTTATTAAGAATATCAGTTCGCTGTGTACTTTTCTGTAACACATGTATGCGGACATGTGAAAACTTCTTCAGGATATAGTTCGAGTGAATGTAAGCAGCCGATAAGTACCTGAGAAGTTAGGCATAGAGGCGAATAGTACTCCGACTTCTGCATAGCTCTGACTGTAGAGCTCCTCGTGCTGCCTCTTGCGGCTGCCCATGAAGTGAGCTGCAACGTGTGGTGGCAGGATGTTATACACTAGCGCCTCGTTGCGGCGTCGCATGTCGGATGCTCTTTCCCTTTGGTCCTCCACTTCCGTCTTCCATAGGAACAGCACGCGGGATGCTTTCTCCAGCTACGGGCAGTAAAGACTACCGTGAAAATTCGTAACTTCGAGGACTTTGCTTTAAATCTGTATCTGCTACCTCCATGATGCGCGAAGGATCTTCTCTGAGAAGCTTGTCACGAAAATAAATTCCTACGCTCACAAATACATGATATTACAAATTATCCAGATCCAGTTGAACCCATTCTCCACCGCCAGTTGGAGTAACTGTAGAATAATAAAGAGGGACACGCCCACAGAATTACGAATATACAAGTCATACATTTTACGAAAAATAAGCTCAGTACCGTAACGACAACATTTTGATATTTATTAATACAAATTCAGCCGCCAAACACAAATTTTGTTATTGTTAATTTGGGTTATGCTACATTTTCGACCCTTAAAGCGTCATATTCAAGTGTTTAATAATTAAAAATGTTTGCGTTGACGTTTGAATTTATATTATTATTTGTACTTACGCAACGGGATGCAAACGATAAAAAGCATTTAATGTCTATTAAGATATGTAGGTGGGAGGATTAAATTTCCGAAATAAATTAATAAATCACTTGCAGTGGTTTTCACATTTCCAGAATTCATCTGAAGGCAATTCCGCAGTTTGTCGTTTTACTCAAATTATACAGTGTTTTAAGTGTAGTACCCTTGTTATGCAGCGAACTCGAAAAGGAATATGCGTTGCTTGGTAACTGCCGGTAAACACATTCTCACGGAGACGTTATCCAGTCTATTGCTAGGCAACGATAGAAAGATTACTGGAGGCGGTGTTTTCTGTTAGGGTCCGCCCAGAAGTTATACAATTAGCCGAGCTACAGTTAGTAGAGTTGTCAGCAGTTCAGTTGAGTGAAGTGACTTGAAGTAGGTGGTAGGTGAGAGAGAATTCAGTTGTCAGTTGTTAGTTGTCAGTTGGAAGTGAGCCTTTGAAGAGAAGAGTAGTAGGTGGGTGTGAAATGGAAGCAAATCTGGTACCTAGTTAGCTGAGTTGTCATTCGACAAGAGATTTGCACGGCATTTGTGATTACTTGAATGAGGGATCTCGAAGAATCACCCTCGGTAGATGTCGTTGCCACGAAACAGCAAGAGGAGACTGTAATATACTGAGAATACTGGTCTCTGTGTGTGCCAGTGATCTGCAAAGTGTAGTTCCGAGTGGTGTACACAAGTGGTCAACAAATCCATTCACCAAACCATAATCCGTCTGTAGTCACACCCCTAAATCCTGGCAGGATTTAAATGAGTGTGAAGTTCTCACGGCTGTATGAGTAGTATCCTCATGAGTAGAAGTCTACCGATGCTTCGGTAGCTCAGCCGTATGTTGTGTCCTTCATGCCATTTGATTACTTCGCTTACTCACCGACCCTGAAGATGGAAATGATACGTTCAACAGAAATATTAGTAAAATTCTACAAAATTACACGGGGTAACATCCCAGAAGACAGTCCTCTTTGTAACTATCTCGGTGACAACCTGAAATCCAAACTTCAGAGCTGTTAATAAGGTCTCAAATTTGTGACGATGATACATTAATAAAAATATTAAGTTTCTGGACATTATCCATCGTCCAATCTTTATTTAACAAACAGTTGTGTTTTTATTTGAAACACAATATTTCGGATACTGAATTCTGTCTCCTTCTTCAGGTAAAACCTACTCAGTTTGGCCCAATCGATAGGACGATGGATAATGTCCAGGAACATAATGTTTTATTCGAAGTTGTTGCCCCACTATTATATATATATATATAATAGTGGGGCTTCTGAATTAAACAATATTGTGATTAAGCACAAATGGAGTATTTTATTTCTATCAGTGGACTAGCTTTAAATGTGCAGTCTCCGCGTTGCCCCAGTTATTACCGTGACACAACCCTGAGAAGAGTCAAAAGTGTTCTACCGAAGCGGGCAAATAAATAAGTCAAGTGTTCTACCGAAGCGGGCAAATAAATAAATAAATATAAAGATAGATAGGCAACGGTCACGAGAAGTGGTGACCAACGGTTGTAAGAAGTGACAGCCGAAGTGCGGTTGTAATATATATATATCAGTTAATTTTGTTGACTTCCTATAAATAGCATGGAAGAATAATTGCTCATGGGATACTGCGGCGGAAGAAAATTTTGAACTTTTGTGTGTGAACTTTTCGAATGATTCAGGAAATTGTCCAGCAGAGAAGTTTGTGTTCCGCTGTATTGCATATTCTTATTTCATTATATACTTTGGCTGAATGTCTGTTATAAAACCTGAGTGTACTTACATGGCGAGCAAGGAAAACCAGAGCTATTGTAACAGCCAGTAGAAGACCACAGAGTGCATACTTTCCAGGCGCTATGCTGAAATAAGACCAAAAGCTACTTCAGAAAAGTAAGCAGCAAAAGAAAAAAAGTATAGAAATGATCTACTTAATTAAGGTAATGTGTTTCTTTTTAAACGACGAGGAATTACGTTGAAATGTTTTTGCCTTCTTAAAGTTTTATGAGATGAATAAATACAGAGTAATTCATAAATTTCTCCAAACATTCCGACACTAATTTAGAATCACTCTCTAAACCAAATACGTATATTGCTACAAAGCTACTGTGATTCTAAATTATTGTCGGGTTTCTGGAAGGACTATGAATTACCTTGTATTTAATATATCTAGACTCTTCGGCTGGAAAATGCTAACATCCCATTATCTCACAAGTTTCTTACAAGGTGGGTGAAATTTTGAAAAAGAATATTTTGTTACAGTTTTCGATACACACTGTTCATTTATGCTTGAATTGTGATATTATTAATACGTCGAATAATTTATTTCCTTCGAACCGATGTGCCTCATTCGGTATAGCCAAGAGCTCCGGTCTGGACGAATGGGGTTTGACTCCTCGCAGGAACAGGAGACTTTTCTCGGAAGCGTTCAGACCGGATCTGGGACCCACCCGCCCTCCTATCGAATGAAGGTTTTCTCCCCGAGAATGAGACCACATAGGTTTGAACTGACCACCCACATTCATCTAGTGCTGAGGTCAAGAGTGGTGAAGCTATACGTCCACTTCCCCCATACGCCTTCATGGCATGGTGCTTAATTAACTACAAGGACAATATTTAGTTTCCATAAGATCTAAAAGTTTGTGACGATGGTATATTGCTACAAGTATTATGTGTTTGGACATTATCCAACGTCTTGTCTATTAAAAAAATCCTGTTTCTTTTAAAGATAGACAAGACGATGGATAATGCCCAAACACATAATACTTGTAGGTATTTAATTTCCGTACTTGATAATATCTTTCATAATCATCATCAAATCGAATTTGTCCTGGCTATTCATGGGGATTTTATATAGTGTATAAGAAATATGATTTTTGTAAATTATTAGAATTGTTGACTTGTTTTCGTTGAAAGTGTAATATGGATACTATTAAAATGGTTCTTGAAAATTGTTACACAATTTGAGGTTAACATAGCAACGAACTTGTGAGCTTAAAAGTTTTGTGAGTCGAAGTTATTTAGGAGGTCACGAAAGAGGGAAGAGTCTTTTGTTTTTGTGTACCGTGTCTGTGGATAATATTTTGATGTGTATGTATATTGGACTGTTTGTGAGTGTAATCCGTGGAACGTGGCGTTGAACTACGGTCTGGAGCCACATTCGATAAGACGTAAAACTGGAAAGGAACATGGGAGGTAGCAGAGGAAGTTAATGGTAACAAATTTTGTCAGCCCTTAATTAAGGACTATGCCATAAAGACATATGGCGGAGTGGAGGAAATTAATAGTATGAAAAATTATAGTATTATTTTTTTTTATTTCTAGTGGGGTGGGACTAAGTCCCTTGTACTGCGGCCTATTGTACCAGCCTCAGATGATAGGTGAGGGTGATTGAGGAGCAATTGGTGGAATGAAGATTGGCATGAGAATCCGAAGTACTCGGAGAAAACCTGCCCAGCGCCACTTTGTCCACCACAAATCCCACTTGACCAGACCCGGGATCGAACCCGGGCCACCGCGGTAGGAAGGCAGCGACTAACTGCTTGAGCTATGGCGCGGTCCAAAAATTATAGTATAATAAATGTTGGGGGTTCCCGTTGAATTCATGCAGAGTGTTACATTACCATTCGTTTAAAAATTGAAAGAAAAGGTAAAGTTGTCCCTGTGCTTAACTAATTAAGCACTACGCCATGAAGGAGTATGGGGGAGTGGATCCACATTTTCTTGAACTCGGCACTAGTTGGAGACAAGTGGTCAGCTTCACGCCCCGGCCGCTTTATCCCCGGGGGAAGAGGCCCCGGTACACATTTTACAGGAGGTTGGGAGGTCCCCAGAACCGGTCTTGACGACATCGAAAAGTAAAAATTCTTGACCCTACCGGGACTCGAACTCCGACCTCTCGTCCACCCCGTAGCCAGTCACTATACCGACTGCGCTATCCCGGATCTTTTCAAAACTGAAGGAAAACTGGAATCTAACTCTTACATAAATCTTACTTACATACTTCAGTCCCTATTGATTGGGAATTACCGAGGAAGTAAAGTGGTTTGCCACTGCAGAGTCCAGATATTTCTGTCTGCCACCATATTCGGGCCAGTTCTGGGGTCCACAAGTCCTCATAATTACTTGGGGGGGGGCTTTCTGCACTGATGAAAGGACTGGAACATGAAGCTGGCCACATCTCGATGTTTCCTATATGCCTTTATTGCATCTTGCTTAGGCAGAGGAACAACTTAATCTGTTTCACTTCTACGTGATATTAAGCCTGTTCATGGAAAGAGAAACCTGACAAGTGCATTAATATTGAGATTAATGCTCTCAGTGCCGTGATCATGAAGAAGGCTATCTTCTGGGATGTGTAGTCAGAAGTCCACCGACGTTTCGGAGGAGCCTACTACGTCTACCATGAGGGTCTAAGTGCAAGATGATCAAGGAAGGTGCCATTCTTCGGAAAGCTGGTAACCTCTACTAGACTACAGTTTTGACATCCAGCAAGGCAGGTCATATTTTAATGCTGGTTTGAGCGGTTAAGGCATATTTATGTCTTTACAATACCAAGATCAATTACATCGACCATTGGAACCTAAAGTACTTTTGTCTTTTAGACTGATTTTTCGCATCCGACATGTCCATCATTCTGTATTGCTACTGACAGCTGCCACTTGCTGTAAAGTTACGCTGGTAGTTGAAGACGACTGCTGAGAACTTAAAAGAGTTTAAGAAACTGAGCAAATCTAATTTTAAAAAAAGTCTGCAAGAATTCAGTGAGAGTGACTTCATCTATTTTGTGAGCGCGCTCTTGAAGTGGACAGCAAGAGGGATAAGAATATTGGAAGAAAACACTTACTTTATCCAGTCTCTGTGATTGGTCGCCTCCTCGCAGTCAAGTGCTGGGCCAATCACAATTACATTCATGCAGCAATGGGCCAGTGTGATGAGGAACAAGAGACCAGCCTTCACGAGGTGGGACACTTGAGCGGGGAGAGTGGCAGCCACAAGGACTAGCACGCAGAAATATGAGAAATACGAAGGATATAAGCACGCACTGCCCAGGTCCTCAGTCATCGTGCAGTTGCTTGGAGACGACGGAGTTGTGCAAGAAACCTGGTGTTAAAAAGTGCAAAGGAATCTTGTTACTCACGTGCACCAAACTCGCCTGTAACGGAAATATATTTGCACCTCTTGGTTGGTTGATATTGAATTATTAACGAATTTGTATGGGGTTGATTACATATGGGCTTATACACGATTCTGTACTGTAGTATCCTGTTGCATTTTAAATCAAATTCGCATTATTTTGGCTGCCTTCTGCATGCGATAATCCGACGATTTTGTGTCAGTTTCTTAATCAGTAACAGGATTATCATAACATTGTAACTGGTTAACAAAATCACACAATTGAACATCAATGGACAATTATATGTAGAACATGGTCAGCATGCGATGAATTATATGGAAAAAGTATCGTGAATATAAATAGGTAAAGATTTGTCTCTGATCTATGAGTGTTTGAAGTCGCTATTTCTGCATTCGTCTATATTGGTTTATTTAATAACGCAAAGAAACTCTGGCTATATAACACCCAATCGTAGAATGATCAATGAATATTTAATTATATAGACGTTGAAGCAAATGGTCATGGCCTAATCCCGGGACTTGTCTGGAGAGACTGAGAAAGACTACGAAGGACCTCAGTCAGGTTAGTGGGTGTTCAGGCCGATATTCTAACTGGGAGTCCTGCCGAATTTAAGTCAGAACTGTTACAGCATCAGTCAGTTTGCCCTGTCGCCTGAAGAGACTAAGAAACGCAGTGTTCCTCAGGCAGGGCAGCAGTTATCAGGTAGAGACTCCGCTTGTTCCATCCCGAAAAAGTCTAGATCATTGCCGCTGTTCAGGTCTTTCTCACTAACACAGAAAAAAATAGCACCCCAACTGCAAGGGGTTTTAATTTTTACACTTTTATATTTTTTGGTACAAGCTTTGTAAAATTAATGCATTATGGGGGGATGTTATGTTTGTTTGTCTATGATCATGTTTCATATCCGATTTTAATGCACCGATTCCGATGAAATTTCGCACTGAAGTAATGTGCCAGAAATTTGTCAGGAAAGTTTGTTTTTGATCCACATATAACTAGCTAACACCTAACAATTTACTAGACTACCAGAAGCGGGCGGTACAACTTGCTTCTTATTAAATCCCGCTATTTGGTTGATTCTAAGCCTGTTCCATCCACCTCCCCACAAGTTGCTTCCTTTAAATATCTTCACAAGGATTATACATTTAAGTCCGGTTTCTAAGAGTTATTCCATGTAAATAAATTTCAGAATAATGTGATTTAAGAACATTATTCAGAGTAATAATGTGTGCACTAAATTTATTTGTCGTAACATGAATAACATTGTCAGTGAGTCGTGAAATATAGCAAAGAACGCATGAAGAGTATTTATCACGTTGCTGGAGGGAAGAAATCTACAGTTGCTGAAATCAATGTAGACCACGAAGGTAAAAGGATTTCACTGTATTGAGTCCAGACATATCTTCAGAAAATTATGTTCTGTCTTCTACACAACCATGATCAACAAACACAATCAGAATATTGATTGCGTGCACAAGTTGCCCATTCGTTTGTCTAAATGGGATAGTCAGATGCTTACCAAATCCTAATAGGCCTGCGTCCAGATCAAATATCTGTAGCATTAGAGCCATATAGACTAGTCTATACATGTGAATTCTTCATAAACTGTACAATGATTTAACAGGACATCTGTCCCCAACAAGCAGGATGAATCCTAAAAATTAGTAAAGTCCTCCGCTGCAAAATGAAACTACTCTCTTACGGGATATGACGCCCCCTTGTGGCCCTGTGCGTCCCACAAGACAGCACTCTTCATAGTTACCGTCCTCAGAATTTCAGATCCCACATGTGGCCTTCCTCCGTATTTCAGAGCGAATACGTTAAACTATGTCACTTCCATTTTAGTAAAAATTTTCCCACCCTGTGTTTATAATTATGTTCACATCCCATTCGAGACTGTATAACTTATATATTTGGAACGACGTCGTTAAATAGTATAACACTGAGTAACAGCTCTCACTACGACTCCAGGCATATGTTGCATATTGCTGCAGGCTCTATGAAACCTCAAAGAAGAGGGTAGATAATAACAGAGAGCACAAGGGATTGGTGTCTGAGCTCTTACCATGTCGACAACATTGGCAACTCCAAGAAGGACGATCACTATAACGCCGATGATTCTCCTCATCCATAAGGAATTGTTCATAGCTTCACTACATCGCACCAGAAGTCCTGGGAATGACTGAAAGATATTAAAATGAAACCACAAAATTTGTATGAAAGCCTATACTTACACTGTGGGACAGGTGTGTAGTCCTTGTTTACTTTGAAGAAAGCAGTCTTCTGGGAATTGGCACCGTGTATATGTGGTGTTAACCGACGTTTCGGAGGAACGTATCGCCTCNACTTTGTTGTGCTCAGTTTATGACGATGCAAGGGCTGCATTAAGCATTCCCATAATGTAAATTCGATTATAATATGGGTGTTACTGCGATACGGTGGAAGTGAAAATATGTTCAAATATGGATATGAGGGGCTCACTGCCATATATCAGTTATTATTAATATATTTTCATAACAATAACGTTAATACTTCTCAACCTACATGCACCCCATGATGACGTATTCTTGACCTTGGCACTAAGTGGAGGTGAGTGGTTAGTTTCACACCCTGACAGCTTTACCGCGGGGAAAGAACCCCTGTAACCTTTGGATAGTAGATTGGATTGACGCCGTGGAGAGGAGAAAATTCTTGCCCTTACCGGAAGTCAAACACCGAACCCTCGTCCATCCAATCCGTAGTCAGTCGCTCGTCGCTATACCGACTTAGCTATCCCGGCTTATTTTCGAACTCGTACAGCTGATCTGTTTCATTTTGAACGCGTCTCTTAAATTTTGTAGATTTCGAAGTAAACATGTGTTAAGTATCAAGAAAAGTTCATATAAATATGTTAAATCAGTTTTGTACTAAATAAACTGTTTTGAGTTCCATCCGTTATCTTTCTGCGCCCGTCAAGTTAACATCAACATATAATCATGAATTTATTGTAACAGCAACATGAAATGCGCATAATTAATATATATTTGACAGGTTATGCCTAGCGTGTGGCATGTATCGTGTCTGAAATTATTTTATTACATTTTAAGAATTTTGTATTATTGTGGTCTAAAATAAAAGATTAGAATCTATCTTTTCTCGTGTGATGAGAGATTCTAAAGGGTTCTGGCGATGGTGTGTAACACACAGAATTACTGGGATTTTGGACTTTTCCCATTATTCGGTATTTTGCGTTTTCTATTTTGTAGAATACTGGCCGATGTAAGAGGTCCAAAAACCCAGTAATTACGTGGGATAAGAGAGTTTAACATGAGATAACATCTGTTCAGTATAGCCACTACATTCAAGCTTATATCAGATTTAATAAATTTCTTAAAAGATATACCGCTACAATATAGTGGATATATGAAATGCATTATAAATAACATCATTTTTAACTATAATTTGAAACATTCTTTGATATGATATGTGTTTAAAGCAATTGAAGGAAAATATAGTTCTGACACTACGCACTGAGATGTCTGTAATGCGGTTAGTTTTGCGACAATATATTTTTATCTTCAGTAAAACTTTGCCTGCACAATGAATGAACATCAGGCCCAATGAGTCATTCAGATTGATAAGGTTTAATTTAAAAGATCTGGAGTTTATTGAAGTTCTGACCTCCACCTATGTTTATTTTACTTCACAATTAACGCCGCTCATTTCTCAATAGTTCTAATAAGTTATGATTACATTATTTCTGTAATTAATGTTTTATTTCCTTTTGTGTTGTTGAGGCTCTATGCTGTTGGATTTCCTTTTACCTGGATAACACAGATTCGTCTTGGAATGCTAATGAGTGTCAGATTCTGGCAATTTGTTGACATTGAACGCAAATAAGAGAAAGATAAGGCGTAGATGTTGCAACATCCTAAATAAATTTCGTGTAATTTTCTTGGAACTATACGGTCTCCTTGTACCTCATCGTTTGTGATGCTCTTTAATATTTAAGAGGAAAACTCACAAAAGTAGGTCATGACGGCTGCCGAAATCTGAGAAATACAAATGCATCTTCACGTTCTTCTAATCACAGTTAAACTATAATTAGAACTCACATAGTTGCAGAAATGTGAAAGAAATTAAACAACATGAAAATGGATAATGTGACGTATATACCCATTTCTAAGCAACGACTCGGTATACACATTCCCGCGTAAGCAAATGCGCGCAACAATTGGACATTCATTTCTAGGCAACGGATCAGTCAACACACCTCCTTGACAATAGAGGCTCTCTTTTCTGCATTGTACGTGCTAAGTGGTTATGAAGAAGTGTTCAGCAGCATAGAGTGAAGTGAAAATTCGAGTTTTGGGACGCCAGCCTGCCAAGATATGAGCTCGGGAACAGAGAAATTGAATTGAGTGAAGTCTTTGGAATTGGCAGTTACAGAATAATGGCAATAAAGAAATTAAACTATGAAAATAAGAATTCATGTTTGATTTGAAGTTTGAGTGACTGCCATGATTCAACTAGTGAAGCCTGAGAACCCCAGTGTGTGTATAACGGTGAATTGTAAAGTGTGTAGATCAGCGATAGCGCTGTACTCCCTATAGTCTCGAATACTGTGTATAAGGTGCAAATAATTCCAATCATCCAATCCAGAACCCGTCTTATAAGTCACGCGCAATTTCCATATACGTGACAGTACTTTTATTTAGCAGTTAATACACAGCATTTATGTTCGAACTCACGCGTTGGAAAATAAATGGTTATTACAGAAAAGAACCGGCAACTTGGAGAATCTGGATTTTATAAAAGATTTCAATGCAAACACACAAAAAGTACGTACAATCGAATGATTCACAGAGTATTACGTAAAATAATGTCCAGGAGTTAATGTTTGAAATAATGAAAAATATAAGTCCAATCGGTGAGAGAATGCAGCGGTGACTAGGCTGACAGACCTTACAATTACTACAAATTAGAACTTAAGTTTTTAACTAGACACATAAAGCTGTTCTGGGTTCCTATTGTGGTAATTACGATGAAAGCAGTGTTCAGCCACTTGCCTGTATCGTTACAAAATTCGATTCTTAGTTGACTTCGATGGTAAGTTGCGCGTGCAAATTCAGTATTTTTATTCGTTCATGGGGTAGAAAGGAGAAATATTTCAAAATTGATTTTATGGATCTATGTCCCACCCCTATAAACACAGGTTTACTTCGCTTCTACAGCATTAAACGCAACGGACGGAACACTCCAATATTTTTTATGCTTATTTACAATCTACATCATTTTAGAGTATTAAGTAAATGTGCTGTAGGTGGTTGGCTTGCAAGGGAAACATCCAGTGATGTTTCTCCTACATGTAGTCTATTTCAATGATTGATGATATCTTGGGGCCATGTTCTGTTCAGTCTTCTTGTCACTGGACCGTTGGTATATAGCTCTTCTATTAATTCGTTGTCATGGTTTACAGTTTGGTTTTTGTACCTTTCAGCCACTCTTAGTATTTCATTTTTGACGAAGGGTATCTTTAGGTCGTTATGGAATGTAAGGTTGCTCACATACCATGGCGCGTCTGCAATTTCCCTTAGTGTTTTTGATTGGAATCTCTGGATGGGATTGATTGTAGACGGCTCTGCACATCCCCAGAGTTGAAGACCATAGGACCAAACAGGTTTCAATATAGCTTTGTATAGTAGTATTTTGTTAGTCATAGAGAGCTTTGATTTTCTATTGAGAAGCCAATACATTTGACGACATTTCATGTCAAGTTGTTTTCTTTTAGTCTGGGTGTGTTTTCTCCAAGTAAGCCTTTGATCGAGGTGGAGGCCGAGAGACTTTGTTTCTGTGGCTGCAGGTATTTGCACATTGTTCATTGTTACTTGTGGGCACATTTCGTGTCTCGTGGTGAATGTTATCTGGACAGACTTCGTCTGATTAACCTTTGTTAGCCAAGTAGTGTACCAGTCGCTCAGTAAATTAAGGCGATTTTTGCAGGTTTTGAGACTCTGTTAGCGGGTTTTCACTGATAGCAACAAGAGCCACGTCATCAGCGAAAGATGCTATCTTGGTGTTTTCAGTTTCAGATATATCAGCTGTGTAGATCGTAAATAGCAGTGATCCCAGGACACTGCCTTGTGGGACTCCGGATTTAATGGGATATAGATTTGATTGTTGGTCTGAGTGCTTGACGGAGAAGTTTCTGTTGGAGAGGTATGATTTTAGAAGGAGATAATAATTTTGAGACAGTGAGTTTTTTAATTTGAAGAGTTAGCCTTGGTGCCATATTTAGTCAAAGGCTTGAGACATATCAAGAAATGCAGCGTTACAAAATTTCTTTTCCTCCAGACTCCTGCAGATTTCATTTACAATTCTGTGAACTTAATGGGTTATAGAGTGCCGTTCGCGAAATCCGAAGTGATGATTTGAAAGTATTGTTAGTAGCTCATGATCTGCGTATATCCTTTGAAGCAAAAGTCTTTCCAAAACTTTACTGGTGACAGGTAGCAGACTAATGGGTCTATAGGACGATAGTTCTTGTGGGGGCTTTCCAGGTTTGTGTATCATTATTATTTCGCGTATTTCCAAGTTGTAGGGACGTAGGAGAGCCTTAATATGGCATTGAATATGGTGCATAGTAGAACGATAGCTTTTTTTCGGATGTGCTTTCAATATTTGTCTAGTGATCAAGTCATACCCTGGGTCCTTGCGTGGGTTGAGTCGATTTATTTATTCCTTCACTTCCTTAGGAGAGAAAGCTTTTATGGGCAGAGACATTTGGCAAGGGGTATCGAGGGAGTCTTGCATTTCTTCATCTTCGTCATCTGGTTCCGTTTTGAAGACTTTAGTTAAGTGTGAAGCAAAGCTGTCAGCTTTTTCTTTGTCTGAGCGAGCCCACTGCCCGTTAGGTTTTAGAATTGGAGGAACATGCGCTTGTGGTCTACTCCAACATATTTATATAAAAATTTGTACAGTATGCCTGATATTTCACTATTCATATTGTGTCATGTCATAGCCAGTAATAATCAGAGCATAGCTCGTGACCAGAACGTCCCATGCGGCTTTTGCTGTGGAATCACTTAGGCCTGCCTACTATTAGTGACGTTTCCTTGTTCAGCCGCCTTATGTTCCTACAATTTCTCTAACAGTGACTGATTGCTTTTTGGAAAGAACGAAGGCATGAACCATTCTCTTCAGTGAAACAAACCAACCAATTAATTAGCAAACTGTATGGCGCAAACTCCTTGGTAATTATACAGGTGCCAAACTAATCAAGAAGAATTATCAGCATTTAGTGGACCCGGTAACCTTACTGTAGTGTTCATAAGAGCCCGCCTGTGCTGAAGCAGCTGTCAGAAGGCAACTGTCCTTGTTTCCTTAATATTTATTTAAATATTATCCATCCGTCTACGCCCAAGTTTTTCAAGTGGTTTATAACTGTAGGTATTCCTACAAAAAATGTGTATGCATTTCTTTTTTTCCCGCATATGCTAGTTGTCCCTCAACCTCCTTAATTTGATTATCCTAATAATATTATTGTCACGATTTTATGGAGTGACTGTAGACGGCGTTTGGGTTGGTGACTGGATTTATTGCATGCCTACAAATGATAACTACAAGTGATTATAGCGCTCTCGCTAATTAATACACGCTCACTACACCCACACAAAATAACGGGTAGCTTGTAGTTCTGTATATTTTAATCTTAGTGCTCTTTAGACTGCAGACGGGGAGAAGTAAGACTCAGACGTGAAAAATAGCAAGCCTTTCACAAATCTAATCTGCTCTTAATTTAGTTATCGCCAAGGTACAGGTACATTGAAAGACGTAAAGTAGTGGAAAATTCTCTTGCATGTTTATCTTTCCGTAAACTTCCAATTTAACCTAAGACACATTTGGAGCAGTAAATTAAGCGAAAAAGAATCAGTCCTAAATTCTACGTGTTATATAATCATAAACACATATTTGGAAACTATTCTAACTCTTCACTCTTTCTAAAAGTATAAAATTAATACGTATTTTCACTTGTAACAGAATATATGTGTTTTGTTTAGTTGTTATTTTTAATTACCGCTTCTGTGATCTAGTGGTCAGAGTTCCTGGCTACAGACCCAGAGATCCAGGTTCGATTCCCAGCACTACCAGATTTTGTGAGAAGTAGTGGGTCTAGAACGGGGTGCACTCAGCCCCGTGAGGGTAAATGCAGAGCTATTGCAACGAAATAGCGGCTCCGGTCTCGAAAACCGAAATTAACTGCCGTGGGGATTCGTTGCGCTGACCACGCAACACCCTCTATCTGCTAAAGTTGGCATTAACTTCGCCGACAAGAGATCGGTCGGTATAGTTCGCTTGCGGACTAAAACCACGATTTTTTTTTATTCCATGCGTCGTCAGCGGAGACATGAAATTTCTTCGTGTGCAACAGGGTTAAGTTCATGAAGGCACCATTTTGTCACAGATTTCATTATTACATATCCATAAAAATTCTCCAATGTATGCTGTAATATTTAAATTCTAATTTCTTCCTCTTAATTAATTCAGCTTAGAAAATGATAGTGATTATTATAAATTAAAAAAAAATATCTGTTCACGAAATAAATTCTGGTCATTTTCAACGGAGTTCTGGGAATGCTTTCTCTGTCAGTGTGTCTTCCTCCAGTTGTAGGAAGATAGTAAATAACAAAACGTGGTGATCACTGCTTCTAACGAAAATGTATCACTCAACACGACAGTTCCGTGTGATATAATTACGTCACCGGAGTTTGAGATCAACAGGACACCCTTATTTTGCTATTAGGATGACGGTGTAGGTTTACAAGACTGACTTCCTCAGAGAACAGTTGTCTTTGAGTGACAATGACATACGGACCTTGGCGTCATTAGGGAACGGCATGTCTTCTGTAGAGTTCGGACGGTTTCCAGCAGACAAACCCCGTCACACCTTGGCAATCAAAAGCACAGTGGTGTCTATATTGGTACTACACAGTCCTTTCAGCAGACGTAGAAAAAAAGTAAACAGTAAGATAGAAACCTCAGAGGTTACGCAATTTCTGGTTATTGTAACTACTAATTGTCGAGCGTTAGTTAACACCCTGCATAAACTTAAGTTACGTAGGCCACGAACGAGCAAGCAGTATTTTGTTTCAGTTTATCACGTCTCTCTTCTGGTATTGGTAATGCCAGCAGAATGCATTGTGATAGGGATATGTTAACTGTACTATATTATAAAGGAGATTATTTATGGTTGTGCTTGTCAGTCGTGGGTGATGGCCTCGACTCATCATTCGGTAACACACAAGCTTAGAAATGAATGCAGGAGAAAGCGTGGAAGTTAATATTAGGAAAGAATAATTCCGTCTTTTGGAATGTGGGGCCTTGTAGTTCTTGTGTGAACAGACGTTTCGGAGGAACGTATCGCCTCCATCTTCAGGGTAGAAATATCCGCGACCAAGGAACCAGAGTGAGCAGCGGGCTGCAAACTACAGCCTACTATCTGCAGCCACCCTGAAGATGGAGGAGATACGTTCCTCCGAAATGTCGGTTCACACAAGATCTACACGGCTCCATACCGCAGAAGATATAATTCTTCATAGTCACCGGCGTGAAAACCTGAAATCTTACATTGTAACTGTTTGCGTGAACTTACTGAAGGGAAGAACTCGGCCACAATCATTACCGACAGAATCACCAGGAGCAGGAAACCAATTGCAAATGACAGGATGTTCATCAGATCCCTGTAACATACAGAATTTGTCCGTATTGCAATATAAGACAGTCACTGAGCACACGGCTGAATAAGTTTAGTTTTAAATATTTAATTTTTATGGTTATATTCTGTTATGATGCCAGGAGGGGTGCGGTTTAGGGTACCTGTTCGAGGATACATCCCTATAGTAGTCCCTTCCCGAAACAATGAAAGACCTTTCTCTTTTCTAATCAGACAAAAAAAAAGTAATATTTACTTACATTAACAAAAGAATGATCTGATCTGACTCAGTCTCGTAGGATTGCAGTTACCTTTCCTGTCTATAAAGTTATCAAGCCTGGCTGTGACCAAAGCAGATTTCTACTTACAAAATGCTTAAAAATACAATTATAAAAGATAATTCCGTCCAGTGTGACTATTTCAGTTTTCGCACTTAATGATTCACTAGCCTTACATGTTTCGATCCATTTGGATCATCTTCAGAGGCACCAAACACTTTTAAGAAACCACTATCACAACAGTTGTCATATCAGATACACATGTAATGTCCAAGTACACAATGTTCCATCTATCAGACACAGCAGCCTTTCTGGTTATAGAAATATTTAAGTTGTTTTAAAGTTTTAAAACTTTGTTAAAAATTAAAATACATAAACCATACGGTTCGTGTCAATAACCCCTGTTGTCTCTCTTCAAGGTGGCCGATGTTGTGCCGCCTATGTAACTTGAGTAAGGAGATTCTTAATATTGTCCGTTATGATTTCTTGGCCCGCTGTGCTGTGTATACACAGCGCCGGCGCACTTCAGCATTGTATCACGAGACTACATGGATGCTGCTTTTCATGGTCATTGCATAGGAAGAGGAAGCCCAGTGCCTTGGCCACCCCGATCCCCAGACTTGACACCTCTGGATTATTTCGTGTGGGGCCAGTGAAAAGCCTGATCTACGACACGCCTGTGGATAATGAATTCGAGCTGCTGGCCAGAATACTTGTTGCATGTGACGTGATCCGTGAGACACCTGGAATATTTGAAAGAGTGCGCCAAAGTTTCTTTCGTGATGTAACGCGTGCATTGAAAATGGAGGGCGCCAATTCCAATATCTACTCTAGCAGGTGAGTCTTAAGAGTTTGGAGGGGGTAATATGCCTGTGCATGCTCTTCGACATTGAGGCGCCAAGTTTAAACGAAATGATTTTAAATGCCGCCCTAGTGCTGCTATTTTACGTTTGCGGACACGGGTTCCTATTTCAAAGTTGCTCTGTAGGAAACCCTCAGTACGCTCCTGAAGAATGGCACGAAACACCTGGGACATTCTGTATATTTGTATGGAAGTTTCATAAATGATGAACAAATTCTACTATTCTCATTCATTTTGAAATTAAATTTTGCTACAAGAATCATTTTGAGTTCTTCATTCATTGTAATATGAATGTCAGGCAAATCCTGTAATACATTTCTTCTTGAAGCAGAATATACGCTCCTGATTTGACAGGCTAGAATCCAGGGCCTTTCGCGTTTTTGTGTGATAAAGTTAGGTAATCCCTCCGAACGGACACCTCCTATTCATCGTGGACGAGACGACAAGACTAAATTAAAGAGCAGACTATGTCAGCGGTAAAGCTGATTTTTTCAGTCTCTCTTATCGCAAGGGATGAAATGGTTGAGGTCAGACTGCAAGCTGCAACTCTTTCAATTGACTCCTTTGTGATGAGCTTAAAATTATTTGAGAGGTACTTTCTATTACTTAAAAATTCATAAGTTGATGAATAATATACGCGTAGAATTGTCTACTTACATTGTCTGAACTACTGTCTGTATAATATGTGGGTATAGAGAAGTCATGAGTAACAGGAAGTAAGAAGATACTAGATAGTAAGGTTAGTATTTAAAAGTCCGTATTCTTCACTAAATATAAGGCTTCATGTGAGACTTTGTGGTGGAGAAAGTGGCACTGGGACAGATTTTCCCTGAGTACCTAACTTTGATGCCAATTCTCGTCCGAGTAGCTGCTCTAACTTCATTGTTTATCCTGTCTTCGACAGCATGTAATCCCGATACTTGCAGCGTCGTTAAATAAACGTAAAAAAATTAGGATCTCCAAATCGAAGCTGCAGAAATCAGTGGGACATGTAGCATGCATGTTAACGGGGAAGTAACTACAAGAATTTATTAGGAGTACTTGAAGGGAAAAATATCTTATTCGGAGATATAGTAGCTGATGAGACGACATTAAAATTTATCGTAAGGCTATTAGCGTAGAAATTAATTTATATACCTCAAAATATGGCACACTGGTAGGCTGTCGCGAACACGTTAATGAACGTACGGGATCCATAAAGGACTTCAAAAATTTCTTGAATAACTGAGCGACTGTTATTTTCTGAAAATAACGCTGTTACATGGAGTTATTACTGATTTTATTGAAAAATTGAAGCATAAAAAGCGTGAAAAGTTTTTATAATTTATATAATTATTTCGTATAAATATCTTACAGTCGTATAAATTTGGTTTGTTCATAAATTTAGATACATGGAGGAAGTGTCTTTCTGAACATGTGTAGCGGCTGTGTGTCCGGATTGTAGGAGGTGCTCGTAAGCCTGTGGAGCAGCGGAAACACACTGACCTAGGCAGCACGACAAACTGTGCAGTTGAAGTGATGAGGAGTACCAGCGGACAGCCCAACACAGAGATGCTGGAAAATGATTCCTTGTGCAAGTTGTAGTCCCGCTCTGTTGTTCCATCTTTGAACGATAAAGTGAAAAACGTAGTGTGGTTCATCAAGTCCCTGCAAACAAAGAATGTTTGATTAACAAATTGAATTACCTCATAATCACACGTGTCAACAGGAAAATCAGAATCACAAACGAATATGTGGACGCAGATTGGGGGGGGGGTTAAAATTAGCTGCTGTACCAGGAACAGGGCTTAAGCCCGTGTTCATCTAAAATTAAGCCGATCACAGTGGTCGCGCGTCTAAGGAATGAACCATCTTCGCTTCCTCGAACACTGGGATCGTGGGTTCGAATCCCACTCAAAGGATAGATGTCTGTCTGCTTTTATTGTGTTTGTGTTGTTCTGTGTAGGTAGCGGCCCTGCGACGGGCTGATCCCCAGTCCAAGGAATCGTACCGACTGAGTATAGGATTAGGAAGCCGAAAATACGGCCAAGGCCCACAAGGGCTGTAGAGCCATAGATAGATAATGCATATATCTGGAAGAGCATTTCAGAGAACTCTATGCTCCTCACGATACTCTGAGTAGAAATGAGAGAGACAGAAGTATAGCAAGCGTCACGTAACTTCGAACAAGGCTAAGAGTAACCTTGAATGCGCAGAAGAAAAATTTCAGACAAGGGGGTGGGTTCGAGGGTGTGAGAAGTGACAGGCGGCCTGTTTGCACAACTGGCCGCCTGTCACCTCTCACACCCTCGAACCCACCCCCTTGTCTGAAATTTTTCTTCTGCGNCGCATTATGAACAATAACTCTTGCCGTGTGGTACCGGTCTACGTAAGATAATAAATACTAATATTGATTTGAACAAGCCGTGGAAAGTGGCACATAATTCTTTTATTCCTTACATTCTCTGTTCTCTTCCTCTGGCCCTACGTTATTTCTTTTTGTTCTGTCCTTTGTCGTCTTTTATTCCTTTTGCCCCCCCCCCTATTTAATTCCTTAATGCCTTTAGACATACGCTTCTGCCTCCCCTTCTTTCCTGTTTTCCTTCTCCTTATTTATGTTTCTCCTTTTTCCTTTCATTCTTACATCCAGTCTGTCTTCTTACTATTGTTCAAACACGTTCCAAATATTAATGACAAACTCTGAAATGAAGATCTGTCTAGAATAGCTGTACGCCAGCATCTGCCTGCGAGCAAACTACAGAACTTTCCTGGTTATGATCTAAGTAGCTTCTCCTGAAGAGGAGATGGACTCGATATTGGGCCGAAACACGAAGCAGACTGTGATCGTACTCAGTTTGCAGAGATGACGCATGTAAACTTGTGAAGTGAAGCTACAGCCGTTACGAGTCCCAGCATACTCCCAAGGGGCATGCCGTGAATGGGATAAAGCGTGTTTGTCGTGCGCAGGAAGGAAGATAAGAAGAGAATGCTTGTGCTGCCGATGGCTACAGAGAAAACATTTTTACATGATGCCTTTATTCTCCTTGGGATTGCGTCATACTGGAGATCTCAGTAGGGGAGGAAAGGCGGAAAATCGAATAGTACCTTGTGCACGTCGGTCAGTAAGATGTTTGTGTTTTCGTGAATACTGAAAGTGTGTGGAGGAGACGTCCACGTAGCTAATAAAGCAAGTTCCCACCTTTTATTTTACCTGAAGATTCTTTTCCGTCTCCACAAGACCCACTAGTGGGAAGCATACTGGGCCATTATAATCTAATCAGCATTCTTACACACTGTTTGTTTATATTTTATTACTGTCTCTCTTTACTTCTGGATGTCTAGGCTTCGCATAGTGGGGGGCTGAGTCCAGTTGGGTCCACTCGGCACGGCGGCCACTGATTGACCTATTGTACCTGCCCAGGGTGATTATGATGATGGAGAATTTTGTGGAATGAAAATTGGAAAGGGAAACCGAAGTACTCGGAGAAAACCTACTCCAGCGCCACTTTATCCACCACAAATCCCACTTGACCAGACCCGGGTTTGAACCCGGGCCGGTGGGAAGCCAGCGACTAACCGCTTGAGCTATGGCACGGCCTTATGTCTAGACTTCGTACTTCGCTTCGGGGTTCCAGGTTATGTTCGAAGTAGTGGAAATGTTCTTGTAGTACGATGAGGGGTGTTCTGTATTAGTTAAGCCTGAGTACAATTAAAAAACGCCAATCACAGAGGCCGCGCAATCTAAGGCATGAACCGTTTCTTCTCGCTCGAACGCTGGGATTGTGGGCTCGAATCCCAGTCGAGGCATGGATTTCTGTGTGTGCTTTTATTCTGTGTTCGTGTTGTTCTGCGTATAGGTAGAGGCCTTGCGACGGGCTGATCTACCGTTGGAGTCCTACCGATTGTGTGTAGGATTAATAAACTGGAAAAAATGACAAAGACAACAGAAGATTGTAGAGCCATAGATATATAGAGAGATAGACAGACACTTAGAATATAAAATAGTCAAATTGTGACTATTTTAGAATTCCAAACAGCAGCTTTTACTGCGTGAAAATTACGTCTATATTTATTCGTGGCGCCGTGTAGTCTACAGTCACCTGCTCACACTTGTTCTTCGCTCGCGGATTTTTATACCCTGAAGATGGAGGCGACACGTTCCTCTGAAACACTGGTTCATACACCATCTACACGGCTCCACATCCCAGAAGACGGCATTCTTTACAACTATTTACTTTTCTTTAATATTAGTGCGGTGTGACTAAGTCCCTTGTATTGCGGCCACTTCTGGCCTATTGTACCAGCCCCAGATGAGAGATGAGGGTGATTGCGGAATAATTGGTGGAATGAAGATTGCCAGGGGAAACCAAAGTACTCGGAGAGAACCTCTCCCAGCGCCACTTTGTCCACCACAAATCCCACTTGACCAGACCAGGGATAGAACACGGGCCGCCGCGGTGGGAAGTCAGCGACTAATCGCTTGAGCTATGGCGCGACCCTACAACTATATTTTGGCAACGTTTTGTAGACTTTCAGCATATGAAGGAGGCATTTTATCTCTAGCTGATGAAATTTTATTTCGAGTCAGTGTTTTCAACTCTTTTGTTTACCTTTCACGAATTAGGTCCTTTGTCTTTTTCATATTGTCGCCGAAAGAGCCCTGTAAAAGAGCGCTGCCCGGCCTCCTCGCACCTCACGTTCTGTTGGAATATACGGATCCCGCTTCTCTCAGGAGCCGTTAGGAGCTGCATCGCCTAACCTGTTCGCGCATCATTTGTACTTCTGGAATATACATGAAACCGACTAGCTGAAGAGAAATACTGAAGTCGCCAGAGAATATTTTAGAGGGTTCCCTGTGGTCGATGTGCCTTTGAAAATTTACTGGGAGATGGAGTTGAAGCTTTCTTCATTTTTCGGTTCAGTTCTGTGCACTGCAGTGCAGGGCAGTCGAGATTGTCTGAAGTAAGTGAACGCAGTGCTGTAACCAGTGGTGCTGCTGAGACAGTAGTTACTGCATATGTCCTTGTTACGTTGTTCTGAATTAAGGCTTATCGACACATCGAAAGGAGTGTATCTACACAAACACGCTGTAGGAGAACACGGACATGTCTCGGCAGCTTGCCCCTCACGTTCGTAGCCTACTTTTCAGTTATGACTGCCATATGTCCCTGGTTTGCGCGTTTCCTCCACAGCGTGTGGTTTTGTCTTTACAAAACACCCTGGACAGACATACATTTAAGAGCAATGGACGACACCCCGTGTGAGGCGAAGTAAAATGCATCAAAATAATATGGGTATCTGGTTTTACCTTGAAAATGGAACTACAGTGTGTGATTTTAACACGGACTAAAACAGTGGAGCAGTTTTAACATACTTTAATAAAATATTTGTAACATATCAAGACACCTGAAGATGGCCGTTTGAGGCCGAAACATGTAGTGTCAAAGTGTATAATGTTAAACTAAAATTAAAATTAAGTAGTGAATAAACAAGTGTTGCAATATGGACGGACGATAAATACATGGACGCTAAGTCGACCTACTTCTTGACAACTCTCTGAACTTCTTTCAACAGCTGACTCCAGACTTCACTCTATGCTGCTGAACACTTCCTTATAACAGCTTTGTGCGGACACTCAGAATACATAGCCTATATTGTTGGCCTTTGCCTAGCAGCAGACGTCCCATTTGTGAGCGCTTTGGCTCCCGCGGGAATGTGTTTACTTAGTCGTTGCCTAGCAATGGATCTCTAAGTCACGATAGTAATCAAAACAACAAGCAAGAAGCAGCAGCTATCAGAGACTTCTTGTTAAAGTTACCCTTCAACCCTAAAGATGGATCCTGTCATTAAATCGGAAATCTCGGTGAAATTTACCGGACTAAATGGCGTCACATCGCAGAAGGTGGTACCCCTCATAGTCACAGCCTAAGAACGACAAATCCAACGATTTTAAACTTGTTGCGTTTAACCTCACCTGTGTCCGTCTCTGTTGACCAGTTCCTTCCGTAGGCGCTTCTTGAAGTCTGCAGAGTCTCCTCTCGCTCGTCCGTTGCTCAGCACGTGATTGTCGTCCACTGGACTCGCGCACTGGATACAGAAACGCGATTTGTACTGTGTGCCGTATATTGATATCTCCGAGACATCCGTACCAAACTATTGCCTTCCTAATGAAATGCACGTAATTAGAAATGAGGAATAGAGCCGAAAATTAGATTCAGTGTGGACAAAATATTTCAATTTCGATATGAGTATTGCTTTCCAGCATATCACTATGTGAATTTTAATAAACTTCTCGACTGAGCGTACGTTGTTTAGTGTATTTTGCAGCAGTACATTATCACAATGCACGATTACGGCCTGTTCTGCATTAAATATAATCTCGAACGATATAAACCTGTACAGAACGAAATGCACATGCCTGACATTTCTGAAATGGTAAACATGTAAATTCTCAATATCAGTTTTCGGTCAAAAGAAATGTCGTAAATAAATTTCTCAAAGCGGCTTAACGTGAAAAAATTGCGGTAGAATATATGGATTCCTTTAAGAAGTTTAACGTTTGTTCATAAGTTATGTGATGTTAGTCTGCTCATAACCTTATGCAAATCAGCAGCTTCAAATTGTCTCTCGACATAGAACACGTAATCAAGCAGCTGAGTAATTTTAAATATACTTTCCTAATAAAAAATTTTCAGGACGTTGGTTTGACTGCTGCTGTCTAGCAGAATATAGTTGATATTCGTGTGGACGTTTAAGGAAATAATATTTACTAGTGGAACTTAAAAAATTACTAAGTAGGGGGGGGGTTGGTGGAGTCCTATTGGGTCCACGCGGCACGGCGGCCACGGAGTGACCTATTGTAGCCTGCCCCGTGTGATTATGATGATGCAGAATTTGGTGGAATGAAGATTGACAGGGGAAACCGAAGTACTCGGAGAAAACCTGCCCCAGCGCCACTTTGTCCACCACAAACCCCACTTGACCAGATCCGGGATCGAACCCGGGCCGCCGCGATCGGAAGCCAGCGACTAACCGCTTGAGCTACGGCGCGGTCCTCACTAGTGGACCTTAGGATTTGCGCGTGTTCAGTGAGACATTCCGTCTACTGGCTAATGTATAACACAATGCAAATGTTATAAACAAAGTACTGCTTCCTACAGGAATCGTAAAACAGCTGTTATTGTCAGTTGTGTAGTTATTTTCACCTCTCTATTATTATGATCTAAGAAATTAAAATTAGACTTAGTGCCCCTCAGATCACTGTATTTTGTACGTAAGTATGAATTAAAGTTTTGTACACGTCTGCATATTTATTCTGGCAGTCAGAAGAGAGGAGTATATTTTGCGTATATCCGCTAGCAGAATCTGTAACGTTACGACTACTCAAAGGCTGCAGTACTCCGGAATTATCATTCATAACAGTGTGCACTAAATTCTAACATGAACAGACTAATACAAATGCAAATGATAATATTTATTTCAACGGACCAGTCACAGTGGCTACGCGGTCATAAGGCTGGAAGGGTCATGGATTGTTTTAAGACTGGGATCGGAAAATATGACACAAACTCCGTCCTAATTGTAACAATTTATTGTGGTCCTTTCGTCTTCTTTTCTTCTACACTATATATTTCGGCAGCAAACGGCCATCATCAGGTGTATACCCTCACGTAGTTGCTACGCTGCACGTAGTTTAAAATTCAAAAAAAGGCTAGTCTTCTCAATTATTCATTTCACTGTTGCTATGAAGTTTCGTTTTATCAGAAATCTTCCCCGCTGATATCAGTCAGATATGTACAAAATCGTTGTTAACCTACACACGTCAATTTGATTTTCACAAACTGGCTTTTTTTTTTAATTTTAAACTACGTGCAGTGTTATATTGGGTTTTTGGACTGTATCCATCGTCCTGGTTTTCAAGATAACTAATAAAAACACGACGTTTCGGAAACTGGATCTGTTTCCGTCCTCAGGTGAAGGAAAACACCTATTCTGTCAGTCACTGGATGATTGAGGCTAGCTCTTTCTAACGGACCCAACAGAATAGGTGTTTTCCTTCACATGAGGACAGAAACAGATCCAGTTTCCTAAACGTCGTGTTTTTATTAGTTATCTTAAAAACCAGGACGATAGAGAAAGTCCAAAAACCCAATATATCAGTGTGTTATACACCATCGTCAGAATCCTATAGTAACTACTACGTGCAGTGTATCAACTACGTGAGAGTATAACCTGATGATGGCCGTTTGCGGCCGAAACATGTAGTGTAGAAGAAAGGAAGACGAAAGAACTACAATAAATTGTTACGCTTAGGACGGAGTTTGTGCCATACACTGTGTAGAGTGTAACAGGATGCTTAAATATAATATTGTAAACTGGGATCGGAGGTTCACATTCCGCTCGAGCTGTTTACATTTGTCAGGGTTTTTCTTTGTTGCTTTATGTTGTGCTTCAAAATTGTCTGATCCCCGTCCAAGGCGTCCTACAAAATGTCTAACTATTCGTCATTTTCGAATTCATTCCTAATCGGAACAAGCCACAGGGCATAATCCTCGATTGTTGAAGGGGAGAATTATTTATACGGTTAAGGTTTCTATAGTAATGTTAAAGACAGCTTTAATTTCCCACACACAGAAAGTTAATGTTGCCTGCAATGCTTCTCATGTTAAGGATATGAAGTTGTTCATAATATTATGTTAATATTTGTTGGTGAATACTGGACCGAGTGCATCAAGTTGACAGTCCCTTTGTATGTGGGTGAGTCCTCACCGCGGAATCGTCCTCTCCTTCCTTGTTGTCAGGCGTCGCGTCGCAGCTGGCGGCCGTCTCCTCAGTCACAGTGCCGTTACGGACATCCGGCGTTGATGGTCGGAACTGCAAGAAGCAAGAAAATCCGACTGTTCATAGATGCATTTCAGAAACTGCAGGGGCTCTATTGTTAGTAAAATTAATTACAACAGGTTTATGAAGAAAATTTAATTTAGTGGAGCCTCTTGAAATGATGTTCAGTGATCCGTTCACAATCCTTGTCAAGTAGTATGCAGGGTACTATATATAGAATACTTGTAGACTGTAATATCTTGAGGAAGGAGGGTTAGTCTCAGATGTGATTAAAGCTGACAGAAATTGAATTTCATATATGCATGGTCTGGATTACTTTCTCAAGAGGTTTTTGTTCATCTCATCCTTCTAACGTTCTCCTGTTTGTCTGCATGAAGTGTGACGTCCTCAGGAGAGAATTTATGAAAGACTAGGAAGCTGTCGAAGAATTGTAGCTATGGTTACGTAAAGATGGCAAAATTCGAGGCTTCTTAAGAGGTGCTTTATTGAAATCTGACCCTAGAGAAATTATTCTAAAATATTAAACTCTGTAACAATTCCGTTTAGAATGATGAATTCATAATCTGAGCAACTAATCGTCATAGCATGCATCTGACAGAGTAACGGAATTAGAAGAACATAAATGAAAATATGCAGTAACTATTATAGAACTGCTACAGCAGAGTCTGGAAATACCCAGTCGTTTAAGACGAATGTACCAGAACAAGACGCAAAATGTCTTTCTTTTTCGCAGGCTGTTTGGCGTCGTTTTCAGTTCTAAGGGTATAGCTTCAAATGGTAAGATGATGATGATGATGATGATGATGATGATGATGGTTTTGAGGGATCTGGAATGAACTGTAGTGACCCATTCGAAGTAGTATCTCAGCATTTACCTCAAAGGACGGAGACAAATTACGAAAATTCTCAGCCAGAGTACTAAGTGTCCCGATCGAGAAACAGATCGAATTCCTCCTGAATGGATGTCTCGAGCGTTGTTTTAGATCTGCTCGTTTCAGGAGTACCATGCGGGTGAGGACACAGAAGATTTCGGCGCCTTAATAGAATGTGGCTTGAGTAACTGTGCTGGAGATACAATGGATTTACTAGATCTGTAACTTCAGTGGTAATAATATAAATTATCTTATTCACATTATACGAAACATAAACGTAAAACACACTAAAATGAATGAAGAACAGATTACTGTTAATGTAATTAGAATAATTCGTAAAATTTTAAAGAAATTTAAACAAGATACATGAGAAGTTTCATGAAGGAGAAGGCTATCTTCTAGGCTGTGGAGTTATGTAGATCTTGTGGGAACCAAAGTTTCGGAGGAACGTGTCGTCTCCATCTTCAAGGTATAAAAATCCGCGAGCGAGGAACCAGCGTGAGCAGATGGCTGCAGACTGAGCCACCTGTGAGTTCTCAGCAGCCATTTCACAGAACATTCATAAGAAATGTCGGTAAATACCAGCCAGACTCCATCGCCTTACATCCCAGAACGCTCCTGACCTGAATAAATATGTACACATAGCTTTCATTTCATGTTGACTTTGATATTTAATGAACACGTTTTTTTTCGTAATTCTGAGTTAAATATAAAAGAGTTTGCCATTATTTCACTTAATGCATAAAATTAGAACACGTAAGTGTTTTTAATAGTGTTCATCCCTGGGGTCTACAAAAGGTGAATAATTTCACGCGTCAAATATTTCAGATTGCTTTCAGTCTGGGTATTTTTATGAGCGTCGTCTTTAATTACCTTCCGCGGCAGCTGCTGCTTTCCGGGGAATGTCTGTTCTTTAACCCGGTCAAGGTACCGTAACAGACTCTCTCACATCAGATGTTACTTAAGCCAAGTATACACTTACGTATACATTAAGTAAGCGTCCCTTCTATTATTAATAATTACAGTATTACTCGTACTTCGAATATAAGACGTCCTCGAATTTAAGACGCATTCTGTTTTCAAATGTGGGTTTTAGGAACGAAATAGGAGGGTGAACATTCCTAGAATTTAAGACGCACCTCAAATTTTCAACGGAAAAAATGTGTAAAACGCGTGTCTTATAATCGAAGTGACGCTCTGTATACTGTTGTGCGTTCTCACACTAGACATCTCACAACAAATGTGCACTTACTTGTAAGCGGACAAATTTAAAAGCTAACTGCATTGCAGCTGAGCCCTTCTTGAGGATCCGCCAGTCACTCAGCTACTCAAGAATTTTCTAACATTTTGCGCGACCTGAACAAGAGTCCTCCATTGGTCCCTACCCTGAGCCAGATGCATCCATTCCGTTCAATCCCATCCTAATACTATCCTCCCACCAATGACTATGTTTTCCTAGTGGTGTCTTTCCTTCTGGCTATCCCATCAAAATCATGTATGCAGTCTGCTTCTCATGCGTGCTACATTCCCGGACCATCTCATTCTCTTTGACTTGATCATTCTAATAATTCTTGAAGAAGAGTACAATCTAAGAAGTTTCCCATATGATTAAATGCATCTATTCTTATTTTTAAAACAGTATCATTTTATGTCGAGAATGATTAGCATTGTCACACACATATGAAGTGACTATAGATGGGGTTCGGATTTGTAATTGAATATATTGACCACTTGCAGATCGTACCTGCAAGTAACTATAGCTCAATACCTAATGCACACACACTGCAATTTACTACAGCACGTAATAAACCTTCTCATTCTGCTGTCTCTTTACTGGTTGTCGCCTGGTAACGGCTTTCAGCGCCGTAGCATCCTCAGCTTCGGTGTTCACATCCTTACTGCCTGGCGACTGTCTCACAACTAACTATAGTCTCGACCTGTCCTGCTAATAACACCTCGGCACGGATTGTACAAAACAACGTTCCTCATTTTTGCAATTCAGTTGTTGCCGTGGGAATACGTTTATTTGCGAAGCCATTACTCAGTAACGGCTACCGTATATTTGCTTAGTCCGTGACCATTTCCTAGGACTGGGTCTATTTTAATGGATTTTAGAGAAGAAAGGTTTGAGATTATGGACTATCCCAGAAAATATAAACCTTCATAACCACCACTATGAGAAGATCAAATACAGTATATGTGATGTTTCTACTGAAATATTCATTTAAATTATTTTAAGTATTTCGTATACAAGATGTACAAAACTGGTATAGTTTGTAGTAAAACCTCATAAGTACTTAGGGTGTGACATGTCTATCTTTAATCCTTTCAAACAAAATTAAATTTTGTTTATTTTCAGAAACAAATTTGCGTTAGCTCAAATATATTCCACAGGAAAATATTTTTGGGCGTGTCCAGTGAAGTAAGCAAAATTACACGAACAGAGACTCAGATATCTTCTCCTCTTAGCGAGACATTCTCTTATTATACTTTCCTTTATCATTAAATTTTGGGATAACTGTCTATAGATATTCGGTTCTTACAGTTTTGAACAGAGATTAATTACGGAAGAGATGACGTATATGATCTACATTTAAGTGTAATTTGTCCGTCGACGAAACTTGTAGATGCATAACTGTCCTTATAAATTCGTGCTTTTGTGTTGGTACTTACCGGTTTCAGAGCTTTAACAATGAAAAATGTTTTTATTCCGGCCATACGCAACATCTCTTCCCGTTTCTCCCCTAGCGCAGGCTCCACTTCGAACTCCCCGTTCAGGTAACTCAGTGTCTTCTCGGAGATGTGTACACGGCTGTAGGCAAAACAGAATTCACGTCATACGTCTTAATGTTGCATTAACTCCATCTGTTTTTCTTAAAAAGTAAAACCTTAAATTTAAGATTTAATGTTTTTGCGGCCATGATTATTCAACTTATGAAGCCTTCTGGGTTGTGACATAGTATAGTTTATGAGTGAATGCCAATATTTTGCAAGAACATGCTTCCTCCATCTTCAGGGTGGAAGCGAACGCGGTGAGGATGGGATCAGCTCTGCAGGGAGGCTCCAAGGAAGGAGTATATTATTCAGATCCATGGGAAGGTGGGGGAAGGAAAGGAGATAGCCTGGTGTTTTTGTATCGAGCTGACCAACGGTGTCACAATCTATAAGACAACAGTCTTAAAGATATTGTGACATGTCTAACCGTTGCTGGGCAACGGGAGGTGGAACGAGTTACCACGAAGACAGACCCCTGATAAACGGTCGGTTTCCAGGTTACGCAACAGCAAGGAAATCCGAGCCGGGCCGAAGCACGTTGGTTGCTACGCAGCAATAAGCAACTCTTGGCAGCGTTGCCCAGCAACACCTGTAAACACGGCGATTACGCAACAGGGAAGCGAGGCGCGTTTTCCGCTGTCTGGCTGAGGGTTTATAAGAGAACTGGAATGCCTAAGCAGTCAGTTGAATTGTAGCAGTCGCCGAGTTCACATGTAGCGAGTGAATCGTGAACGTGAAGAATACCGGAACGTGTGATTAGAGGCGACAGCGTGAGAAGTTATTGGGAGTGTGTAGTACAGTGACACTGGTATAGCTCCCATGTTGTACTATATATTAAAGAATATTCCAGAAGGAATCTAATTGAAAGTCCAGTTTAAATGTAGCTTCTAACGGGATATTTTACTTTCTTGTTCGGCATTGAATGATGGTCATGACGTTTATGTAATTACTTCGGGTTAGTGAAGACAGTTACGAAAACTCTCTGCTAGGACAGACGATCTTCGTGTCAAGAATTAAGCCCGAATTCAGAGCAGTAATGCCAACAACTGACAAACCTGAAAGTCTCGTAATTCCCTTCACAGCTGTAAATTAGGTGCCTCAGGGTCAGTAACTTTTTTCAGTTGTATATTTAATGACGCTTCCGTTTGATGAAGCTGTATAGTGTTGAATGATTGGGTGATAGGTGTCTTCGCTCGTTCGAAAGCTAGGATCGTGGGTTAATCCCATGTCTGTGTTTGCGTTTACTCTGTGTGTAGGTAGCGGCCTAGCGACGGGCTGATCACTCTTTCTACTTTCTATGTAAGACGAGGAGGCAAGAGACCAGCAAAAGACTGTAGAGCCATTAATGAATGAATTAATGATCGGGTTATAGTGGATGAATTTCAAAGGCTGCGGAAAGAATCAGCCGTGAACAAAACTTCAGGTACTATACCGGCATAAGTATAAGGGACTTAAACTTGACGGTTGTCAGGTCTTTGACCATTTAAGACATAAACCGCTGCAGAAACTAGTATTGACAGTTGTCCTATATGTCACTTGCAGAAGAATTATTCATTGCAGTATAGTGACAAAGCGTGTAAAGTGTCCATAAAGTACAAATGGCTCTATTTGGATTTTCTCCAGTGATGGTACACTCGTGTGCAATTACGGTGCAACAAATGAAGCGCTTGTTTAAAAAGCAACTCCTCCTCTCGTCTAAAAGGAGATCGAGTTTCCAAACACATAAACGGTCTTGCAAAGAACATAATTTAGGTCATGGATCCCGAAAAGGAACGAAACCAAGAGTGACTCTGCTGGCGAGGACCAGCAGCAATTTACTGAACTAATCTAGACTAGCCTGGAGGAACGGAATAAAACCACGGAAATCTCATTCTGAATAAAAGTTGTCCTGGCCTAGATTCGAAGTAGGTACCTCTTTAATACAAGTCAGACACATTATCGCAGATTCAATCTAAATAAATTTCTGCAGGGAGTCACAGTAATCATAAGAGTTTTGCAAACATTCCATTGAAATTTTGCCTCAGAGTAGGAACAGTGACTAAATGATTTCTACATGTTTATATTGATGTCACTGATATACTTCCAGCAATTTAGGTTAGGATAGGTCCTTTATTTCAAGAAAATGACTCTAAAAATGATGAACTCTTTCCTGCAGTGTGAATGGAATGCAATGGAATGTTTCGTCACAAAACAACACTGCATTAACGGAGCCAGTGCATTAGACAGTGATTCGGAGAGGTTCGCATGTTGGCAGCAACACGCAAGCCTGTAGGGTGTACTCATACATTGCCCTAAATAGGTAGAGTTGCATTGACTTAGTCGTAAGCAATTTGTACCGTGTGAACAAATATTATTTAATTATTAATTACAAGTATTTAATATAAAATTCCTGAATTCTTTCGGTGTTGTCTAGTCTTGTTGCTAGGAGGCCATATCCTTGTACATATATATTTTGGTAACGGTGAGTGAAGGCTCTAAAAATACGCAATTCTGAATTACCATAACAACGAATTGTCCAGCGTTAACATGTCTGCATGTAGCGGATCGGAATGAGTCGTGCCCGTTATGTGAACATCTATAATATTCTGATGCGGAAATATAAAGGAAAGCGAAGTACTCGGAGAAAACCTGCCCCAGCGCCACTTTGTCCACCACAAATCCCACTTGACCAGACATGGGATCGAACCCGGGCGGTTGGAAGCCAGCGACTAACCGCTTGAGCTATGGCGCTGCCCATCTATCTATCTATCCACCAANCATCTATCCATCCATCTATCTATCCATCTATCTATCTATCTATCTATCTATCTATCTATCGTTCTGCAGCCCTTTGTTGGACCGTGGCCGCTTTTCCGTTTTCTTAATCTGTACACATTCGGTAGGATTCCTTGGAAAGGGGATCGGCTTGTCGCAAGGCCGCTACCTACACACAGAACACAAACAGAATAAACGCACACAGACATCCATTCCTTCAATGGGATGCGAACCTACGATCCCCGCGTTTAAAGCGAGCGAAGACCGTTTATGACTTAGAACGCGCTACCATTGTGATCGGCAGAGAGTGTTAGATATGACTTGAAAATTCACTGGGAAATATCCTGTTACAGAAAACCTACACGAAAGGAGGTCTGCACCTGTTTCAATTTGTCTGTCAAGGCTGTTAAGAACATCTTCACTGATATGGCCGACCTCATTAGTTCCTACACATGTACTTGCTTTATTAATGCAACGTGTAGAATCCATTGCAAATGCAGGGGTCTCTCTTCACATGTGCTAATTAATAACGCAATGTTAACAAGTTTTCTTGAATAACAAATATGTTATAAGTATGAGTGCATCAATTCATCCGTAAATACAACTAAAGCTATACATCCATTTGCACAGTTCTACACTGAGTTGTATTCATATTTATTATATTAAAGAAGGGCCCCCTCTGGTGTCAGATAACACATAACAAACGGGCTCCATTTGCTGACATTTTCAGTCTACCGTTGATTTTAAGGAACCGTTTTCTGCTAAGGCATAAACTGAATAGCGCAATCCGTTTTGCCGCTAAGCAGCCATGTACTGGTCGGCACGTAAACCGATTTAATTGAAGCCTACGAGACGTGAAAATACGATGCCTTTATGGAAGATAATAGGTTCGTATTGTCCAGTCTTCTTGTTTTTAGAACCTTATTTTAAGTATAAACACGCACGAATCAGCGTTTCTTTCATGAATATTTCTAACTTGACTATGTCAGTAGTTCACAAATTTTGAGTAAGGGTTTATACGTATATCGCAAGCGATTTTATAGCAAGTTTTTATTTTAGTGTTGATTACTTTTTAGCCTTGGCTAGTATGACAAATTCAACCTAACTCTAAAACAGTACGCATAATAATATATGCTTCAAAATCGTACGGGTTTCCTCATCACATTTCTGTTCACATCTCCCCTCTGTGCGATAAGCACGCTGCCTTCCAGCAACAGTATTAACTCTCGTCGTGTAATGTATTTAATTCAGTTGTGGTATTGGCTCTTTCGTGCCGGTCACGGTAGCCGAGCGATCTAAGGCATGTACTGTCTTCGCCCGCTCGGAAGCCGAGATTGTGGGTTCGAATCCCACTCAGGGCATGGATGTTTGTGTGTGTTTTTCTGTGTTTGTCTGCAGGTAGAGGCCTTGCGACGAGCTGATCACCCGCACAAGGAGTCCTACCGTATGTGTAAGATCTAGAAAAACCGAAGTAAAAGGAGAAGTTCATGGAGGTAGGCCTAGGCCCACTGGTTCTATAGTGCAAAGGAAAAAATTGGCTCTTTCGTTGGTGTTAATAATTTAAAGAGCACTGTAAAACCGCTGTAAATAAATTGTGGTCATAGTTACCGTTAACAAATATTTCCACAGAGACACGCAACTTCTATAGCCCTATAACCGTCCTATGTTGACGAAAGTTTGGTGTAAAATTGATCAGTAATATCTTGCTCCATACTTATCCGCTATCCTCACACACGCTCTTCTGTGGGTTTGTTCGGTCTGTTGGGGCAGATGCTCGGGATAGTAACTTGAAGCACGATAAGAACCCTTCCTTCCAAATATTTCTCATTCGCAAATTACTGCCATCGACGTGTGAATGCAGAATGGATGAATGGATGTAGTTTCTAAATGGTTCTCTTTCTGTGCCCTAGTGGTCAGAGTTCCTGCCTACATATCCAGAAGTCCCGGGTCCCATTCCCGTCGCTACCAGATTTTTTGAGAAGTAGTGGGTCTGGAAAGGGGTCCACTGAGCCTCTTGAGGATAATTGAGGAGCTATTTCAAGGAAATAGCGGCTCCGGTCTAGAAAACCGAGATTAAAGGCAGTGGGGATTCGTTGCACTGACCACGCGACACATTCTATCCGCAAAAGTTGGCACTAACTTGGCCGACAAGCGGCTGTCGCTCGGTCGGTATAGTTCGCTCGAGGACTAAAGACCACGGAGATTGTGTATAACACTCGGAATTGCTGGGATTTTAGACTTTGTCTACTGTCCGATATTCTAAAGAACACTAAAGAAAACAAC